ATAAAACAGGGATAAAACAGGGAATCCCTATCAAAAAGCAGGGATCAGGGAATAGGGATTAAGCCGTAGGGATCCCTGGGTTTTTCCCTTAGGGAGGGATCCCTAGAGAAACACTATTGGCGAGAGCTTCATTTAATATGTTGACGTAAAATTCTAGAAGTACATCACCGGATATTTCAAACTGCAATGCTTAACCACAACGAAAATCCCTGAACAAAACTGAAGAATTAAGAAGAAACATTAATTGCAATCAGCATTACTGCAGTTGAACCAGATGCCAGATGTGCTTTAGTTGATCGTAGAGAGTCATCATTACGCGATTTCATTTCAAAATTGACATTTTTCGTCTTGCAATTCAATGCATGAAACATTATTATACATCAGCTGTCTACACTCATCAATGAGTTTATCTGAAAAGAAAAAAAAGAAAAGTTTCTGTTTCGATTTCATAAAATTGATGCAAAAAATTTAAATTTCAAAATCATTTTTCAACGATAGTCGACAACGAGTTTTGCTGCAACATTTAGAATGAATTAATGTGGAATTGAAAAAGATGGATTGTTCCTTAATCCTTCAGACAGCTTGGCAATTATTTTAAAAGTCTTGTTTGTTGATCCCCCTTCGTCACCGTGAGAAGCGTAGGAAGGAAATGCAATAGTTCATGATAAATCTTTTAAAGTCTTCGCTTAATAGATGTTTAATTATGATGACGCTTTAAATGGCACCACTTGAATATATGGGAGTTTAATATCATTTGTGTTAATTTCAATGCGATGACTCTGCATATCCTTCATGAAGTGTGCTCCCGAATTGCGTTGTGTTTAACAACAAAAACAAATTAAAGTCGCTTCAAATTATTTTAATTAATTTTGTGGCTGAATGTTTTATATTAACGCTGTTTTAAATCGAAATTCAGTGGCTTTCAGACAGTCATCTGATTCTTCAAATGTGCTTCATGAATTATGGAATTTAAACTTCCAAGTCCCCTCTTAAAGAAGCATGAATGTAAATATTTCATGAAATAATATTTATGTGACTTATATTAAAATCAAGTCATCCAAAAATATCAATTTCATCAAAAGTAAATTTCCATTTTAACTAACGATATCAATAATTTGTTGAATTTTTCTTCTTAACGACAACTTCCTTCCTTTCTTTTAGTAATTTAATTGTCTCGCCCCCGATTTATTGGTTTATTCTTTATAGCATCAATTTGAATCTGTATCAATTTCAAAATTAAATTTCTTTCGATTCAACTCAACAAATTATGAACATCGCATGTACATAAAACAATTTGAAATTCTTCTTCCATTTTCAAATATTCTTCTCACAGAGTTGTAAGGCCATTTGCAGAGCTCTCAAGTAATCGTTTAGCAGCTTGCATAACATTCTCTTCTCACTAATTTAATTGCAATTTTGCTAAGTGCACTTGCAGAAGCATATTATGCATTATGAGAGATTCTATTTTCTTCTTACACCACCGTTCGTCGCGTCTCGAACGAATAAAAATGAAACTAATTAATTTTTTCTCAAGCATTTATCTCAGCTAAATCTTTTAAATGGCTTGAAAAAATAAATTAAGTTAAATTGTTTCGTTTTTTTTATCAAATTAAATTTCTTTTGAAACAAAAAGAAAGAGAAATATCTAAAGTATCATTTGCAACTAAAAACAAATTGCATTTCATTCCATACACACATGTTTTTTTTTTCATGACTTGACTGCATCAATGAAGTGTTGTCTTGCAAGATGCTTAAGTTTTCCCATGTTAATGAAGTTAATTTATAGCTGGGAATTTTGAACGCATCATTTGTTTCTTCTTCGCGTAAATATCTGCCCACTTTTATGATAAAGGAACTTTATTATGCCGTTTCCTTCAGATATTGTTGTTATATCATTCCACAAACAATCAACAATAGCTTCATTAAATGACAACACTATCGCTTAATTGAATCCTTTTTTCTTAGTTTGTTTCCCGGTGAATTGATTCTAATTGTTATTCATAATACGAAGTCATACATAAATATCTTTTCCATGTCAATTTTTAGCTACATAAACGAGTTGTAAGTTTGAATCATAAAATATTTAATAAATAAGAAACATATGAAAATTAAATTTGGAAGATTAATGCGTTCAAAGATAAAACCATATGTGATTAAGTTTTGGTGGTAAGTTATGTATGATAAAGATGGAAGCAAACAATTCATAGTTTTCCGCTAATTAAAATTCACATCACATTTTACGAAACCAATGAATATTACTCGTGAAATGAAACATGTTGGTCTTTATTTCAGATAAGAGATAATTGCATTCTGGAAATTTTGGGAGTGAAGACACCATAAATCGTTCATGAGACTGAGCTATACTGCAAACATGAACTTTTCAACACTGATGCTTGCATAATAACTTATTTGATTTTATTGGACAGCTATCAGCGAGTTCGTAAATTCTTAATCGTCTGAAAAATGATTTACGACAAATTTAACTACTGTGTTCAGGTTAATAAGCTTCTGGTGGGATAAATTCTGAACGAGACTGAGTAAAATCGAAACAACTGATTAACAAAACAACAACCTATAAAGCAATGAAGTTGAAATGTTGTAACTTCTGTGGGAGAAGTTAAAACTTTTACAATATCTATAAACGTTAATGTTTGAGTAATTTTGATGTTATCCCATAATACTTATGAGTGAAGGTTTGAACTTGCAACATAACGACAACATTAATCTCAAGTATACTTTTAATAATTTGTTAAATCGAGCAAATAAAAAAATCATTCTTAGGCCAAGAACGGCGTTATTCAAATTCTCAATGGAATTGTGTAAACTTTTCACCTTGCTGTAAATTAGATAATGTAATAAATTGTTCCAAAACGTGTATTGCAACATTAACACACAATGATAACGCTTGTAACAGCCTTTTGGTTGAGTGATAATAACCATTCCAACGGAAAAAAGCAATTGTCAAGAATTATCAAATTTTTAAAATTAAATATAAAAATAAACTCGTGTGAATGGTTCAGCAAATTGTCGAACATTATTAAATTTTTCGGCGGATGTTGAATTTTTTTCTAGTCGCTTAACAAATATCGTTTTAAGGCAATGTCAAAGGGAGGTTGGCTTCAATGAAATTATCAAATTATAACGACGACTGTGGTCAATGTTGCCTAAAATATTCAAAGATTTATCTGCTCGAAGAAGGCTAAGCTGTAAAAACATAAGAAATCTACGTTCAAGATGTCATAAATAACGAGCAACCCCTTTCTTCTGCAGCACACCAGTTTTAATTTATTAATGTGACTTAGCAAAAATCTGAAAACATAGTATCGATAAATTACAATTGGAGATGGAGAAAACTTCTATGAAAAAGGTTTTAAAATGACTTTAATTTATGTTTCATAATTTGTAAACATTTCCTTTAATAATATTAAATTTGCCTTGGTCAAACACATTAGGAAATTTGAAATTTCTAATCATTGAATTATTTTCATGTTTTTAGAAGAATTGAAAAAGGCTTGAAGTGAACGATGAAACAAAAGGAAAAGTTGTTTATCATGCATAGCACAGTGTTAAGTTTTACGTCGAGATTTAAGCCATTAAGGGTATTAAGAGAGAAGATTTATTTAGAATTTATGACAAGTTCAACGCACATTACAAGTAGATTTTCATTAATTTTTAAGTCTTTTGATAACTTCAATCAAAAGTGTTTGCAATCTGATATTAATCTAAGGGAAACTAATGTCAGGTAGGCAAGTGTTCACACTATTCATACTCCACCAATTAATTAAATTACAGTTCAGCTGTAAGTAGCCAGCGAGCATGAAAAATTTTTAACACTTGACAAAGCGCAAATGATGCATACACCGGCAAACAGAGACGCATCAAAGACTTTGCAAATAAAAAGAGAAATTGAAATTCCTTTCAACAATTTCAATAAACAATTCTGTCCCTCTTCAAATACCTTGTTACGCATCTGAATGAGAAACAATAAAAAGTGTAACGTCAGCCCACTCATTCTATTCACAGTATTCGATTTTTTTAATTTTTTTCTCAACGAATGGAATCAACAGGTTGGTTATTAAAAAAAACCTCAGATTGAGTTTTAAAAAAACTCAAACGTTTAAATTGCGACTGTTCAGGCAGACATTTACCAGACAGGCGATAAAATCCTATGTAGAAGAGAATCATAATGATTCAAACGGTTACTTCTTAACTTCTCCTTTACAATCTGAATCATCAACATGATAAACCAATCATAAATATCATTTCGGATTCTCTTTTAATATCGTTTTTTTTTTTCATTCATAACATTGATTCATAACCGTTGATGAGATTCAACCGCATAAAAGTAAATTAATGGTCAGGAGGTATCGCAAGATAAATATGACACTCTCGTTCTTTGTAATGTTTTGTTTTATTTACTATATGTGTTAAAAGAGCGCGAGAGTTCGACACGTTTTTGTTTCAATAACTGAAGCTATTGCTGCTCTTGAATGCGTTTAATTGATATTTTTTCACGGAGAACTGTACAAGGCTTTTTGTTGATTTTAATTTTACCTTTCCTTCCCGATCTCGCGTCTACTTCAGATTGCTGTAATTGCAATTAAAATACTTGAACGATATTTTTTATAGCATTGATTGAATGATGGTATTCAATAAGCACAACATTGCGGTGAATGACCGTATCACAATAAGTATTTGTTACGGAAAAGCGATTAAAGGCGACAACATCAGCGAGAAATTGTAGCATGACGTTGTCAAAGAAATCACCCGACAGTTCTTTTTTTATTATTATTCAACTCGCTTAGTTTTCTACTGAGCTTTTCAATTCAAAAGCAAATAGAGTTGTAAATTGTTTTTGAGAGTTTTCATGCTTAATTAAATTGAGTTTCGGTTTGGATCAGTCTATCTATAGAGGTTACACTAATTTTAGCATGAACATTAAATTTTTGGGAGCAAAGAAAATATCTAAGAAGATTGGATTGAGTGGAAAAGGAAGAAAAAAAAATTACTTCCAATAAATGATTTTCAAAAATTTTTCTTCTATTCTTCGAGTTTTCGTTTTTCACGATTCATTAAGTTGTGATCAATGACAAAAACTTAAGAATGACTTTCATTTGTGATGTTAAACTGATGATTTAATGTTGGGTGCTGCTCCTAGGCTATCAATCCTAGGCTTGGATTAACAAAAACTCTAATCAAAATCTCTAAAATATTTCGTGTAAAAAGCTTTAAAGTCAACAAAATTTTATTTGCACAGGTGAACAAAGTTCTGCTTTATTTTATTATTTTATTCTCTTTGTAGCTTTGTAGTCAAGAGCTTATAAATGACAATGTAGGATAAAGTTACTCAAACCTAAGACAAAGAAAATTGTTAATTTATTTATATTTACATGCTTTTCTCTTTTGTTTTCAACCAATCGAAAATCCATGCTCCAAGTTTTCCACAGCAAAAGAGGTGGAGTTTTATTCAATGTTTCATTGAGTTTCTTTGTTTTATCAGCGGCTGCGTGCTTTAATGTTTCTCCTAAATGTTGGAGCAGCAGAAAGAAGAAAAGAAACGGCAAACCTATGAGAGCGTTTAGTAAGTAAGTTAAGTTAAATAATTTTAAATAAATGGAAATCAGAAACTGTTGAACTTTTATATGTGAAACCAAATAAGCAGTCGCAATGATAATGCAGTAAAATACCATAAAATCAATACAAAGCAAGTTTGTTTTTCTCTTTTTTTTCGAGTCTGTCAAAAGTTGCAAAAAAGAATTGAACGGAAATTGTTGTCTAGCTTCGTTTTTCTTGCTTCAATGGAAACATCAAAAATTTCAGTAATTTTATTTCACCAATTTGATATCAAAACATTTAAGAAGATAAATAAATAATTAATCATGCATCATATCCACTCATTATGTGGTGTCATACGCTTCGAAAAATTCTTTTTCATTCAAATATCTTACATTCCACAATTTATCCTCGAAGCTTCCAACAAAAATATTCCCAAGCCCTTGAAGTATTTGCCTGGCAAAGATATAAAAACTTTTTTTTTTGCATTTCATTGACGAAACCAAGGCAGAGCAAAAAAAATTAGAATATTCATTGTGGGAGAGACCACAAAAAAATACGCATTATATAAGGAACATTTTTTGCCGTTTTTATAACGAATTATGCATGTGAGGATGGTGATCAGCGTGGAAAAAACTTAAGAATTCGCGACCTATCTCAAGCTTTGTTTTTCGTTTACAAAATATGTGTATGTAAGATGTCAATCTTACTTCGATGCAATTACTAAAATCATATCAATGTTTTTTGGTGAAATGTTACCTTAAGAAGATTGAACAGTGGAAATTTGAAAAGGTTTGCGAAGGAAGATAACAAAAAAGTATCAACCTATGAAGAAGATTTTCACTGACAGTGCTGAACAACAAAATCAAATGTTTGTCCCAGAGAAAAACGTTAGCATCGGAGTTATCGTCTGGTAGCAATGTGGAGAGCATGCAAACAAGAAAGTTTCTGATGTTAGCAACAGCGCAAATCAATGTTTTTCTCGTGTGTTGCTGTGTTTCCCTTTCGTGCTCCCTCATGAAAAAAATTCTTTTATTATAAAGCGTTGATATTTTTGAAACAGTTTTTTATTCGAGTTTTTGTGTTTGTGAGAAAAACACCAAACGAATTTCTCTCTCTGATAAAAATTTGTTGCTGGATGTCTGTTTGGTATTCTGTCAAAAATTTTATTCTGTGTTTACTAAATGTTACAGTTAAGTATTTAAAAATTGCATTTGAAGATAAAAATCATAAAATGTGTTTATAAAAATTCAGTGATTGTTGATTGAAAGAAGTCAAAAGAAAATATTTGATTGTGAAAAGAATCGAAATCAAAGATAAATGTAAAAAACAAGAATTTTTGTGAATTGCAAATAATTACATCGTGGATACTTCTAAGAAATAAAATGTTTCAAATTAACGAAGTAAAGTGAAATCAAAAAGAAATTGAAAATATATGTAGATACATGGATTAGCAACATTTGCATCTGGGAAAACATATTTGAATAAAAAATAATCAGACATCAGTTATAACAAGAAGAAATTGAAAAGAAATTTCGACATTGACAGGTGAGAAATATTTTCAATTTATAATTTTATAAAATAATTTTTTAACAGTGAATTTAAAAAAAGTTTTCATGAAAAATGAATAAATCGCCCTTCTATGTCACCATAAAAGAAAACGTGAAGTTTTCAGAATAATTTTTTATTGTTTTGTGACTTGAACCTTTCAAAGACTTCCAACTTGAACTAAGTATTGAAACATTGCAAAAGTCTTTCGGATTCTGTTTTTTAATTAAATATGTTTAAATAGAAGCAAACATTGAAACTTGTTGATCAGTTACTTAAATAGATAAATGTTCGATGGGTACATCGATACACCTGTTTCCCATTCAATTAATTCAATTAAATAAAAATTGACATCATTCATACATATCATAAAGAATAATAAAATGAAATGAGAGAAGTAGAAGAAATCTCAATTCTTAGGTAAAGGAAGAATAAGAATGTCATTCATCAATTAAGAAATCCTGTTTGGAAAAGGAAAACAAATAAATATCTTAATTCATTTAAAAGCAAAGATAGACTACTTGAGTTTAAGAAGAAATAAAACAGAAACTTGATTATAAATATTGCAAATATATTCGATTGCGATGCTTCAAGATCTTTCTTTTGCGAAAGCGAGAGTCGTTGATGATAATAAAAAGAAAATGCCCTTAATTTTTTTAAGCAAAGTAAATAACAAGCTTCTTTGCAATTTTACAATGAAGAACTGAACTGGAATAGCATCGATCGATTGGCGTCGATGGGGAATTGAGACTTGTTAAGAACGCCGCAGTTTTATCAGTGCATGTAAGACAATTTTTTTGCTCCCAACATTTGGATTCTGCTAGCAAAAATTTGTTATTGTTTCGATCTTTGCTACAATCCATGCAACATTAAAAAGGGAAAAGGCATCGACATTGCTTTTAACTTCTTCATTATGTTTTAAAAATGTATGTTAATGTCTTTAATTACATGCTTAAATTGTTTATTGGTAATTTTTTTTATTGAAAGCATGTTATCATTGCGGTTTAATCTTTTTAAAGGGCGCATTGTTCCTTTGACAACGTACAAAAGCACGTTTGCTTCGTTGGAGGCATTTAACCCGACACATATATTCAGTGATTATTCAATGACTTTTATTAACAATTAAATTTAACGACAAATTTTCAACTTAGAATCGACAGCTATCGAATCTATGTAAAGTTTATGCTGTTTACATTTGTTGGTTGCTTCTTCGATGAGCAATCTTCATAACTAAAACCAGTGGTCAACAATAAATTTTATCATAAAACTTTCAAACATTTACGACGAAATAAAATGTTTTAAGGTTGTTAAAGTTGCAAAATATGCTTTTTGTTTTTAATTTCGGAAGAGGTGTTAGCTGAATTTAATGTTTTTCAAGAAATTCAAAATGTTTTCTTTATCCGTTTTTAATTAGAGCACAAGAATCGCCATTAAGGCTTGCTTTACTTTGATTAAATTAAAAGTATTTGTTAAGAATGAATTTTGTTTCAATAAAATTTCATGATATTGGAAGCCATTGTGAATATTTAAGAATTCAGTTCACGTTGTATCAGAATAAAAATCCAAACAAATCAGATTAATTTATTAAATTATAACTCCCAAACGTATGTTTTCAATTACATGCATTCGAAATAATTTGCGTATAATCCACGTTGAAAATTAATTCACCTTTTGATTTACAATTGCACTTTAGTTTACATCATTTCATATGCACTATTATTAACATACATTGTAACTTATGCGTGCAAGTGATCCTTTGACACTTGATTTGAAGGTAAAAGTACGTAAATACTTAATAAATAGAGAATTATCTGTCAACACTTTAAATCTCTGTCGCTTGCAAATTATTCTTGATTAACTTAATTCATATAATTTGTAACTTTTAATATTTTAACATCATGTTTCATATTATACAAAAATAATCAAAGAAGACAAATTTTCCAGCGTTAACATCTTGAAGAAGCGAAATTTAATGATAATAATTTTTAAGTTACTCGTTACAACACAGTTCGCTCATTGTTTTTAAACTTTAATGTGCTTTTCATTTTACAACGATACATTTGGAGTAAAACGTTTCACCGGCTATAATTACAACAAAATGCAAGCGCATTACAAGTCACTTTGGAACTGCAGAGTCGTTTGTTTGATGATGATGAATATTGTAATCATTCAAAAATGCTTCCATACACACAAGTGGTCATGATGAGAAGATCGAATGCATTCATGACGAGTGTCATTTACTTTTATTGCATTTAATAGTTTATTTTAAACTTAAATATTTTCCCTCTTTTCTTTTAAACTGAAGTTACATGATGAAGAAAAAAAATCTTAACGCTACATTATGAATCTCAATTCTTGAAATTTTAGTTTAAAAACAATTGATTTTCATACTCTTCACAGACACCAAAAAGAGAGAAATTGCCGGTTATGCTTAATCTTTCTTCATTCATGTAAAATGTGTGCGGTGCCGGTGAAACGTCGATTTATGACAATGATTACATTCATGCTTGCAGTGCTTTCCGCGACAACAATGTCATTAAGTGCAACTTACCAATCTGATGTAATGACAACTTTTTTTCTGTTTAATTGTTCAATCGCAAATGCCGCATGGTCAACGCTCACGAGTGTAATAACAGGCAGGAGGTAAAAGTGAAACACTGACAGGTCATCTTTACGATGAAATATGATATATGTTGTAAATAATTAAACAATCATTGTGCTTGACTTCCGTTTTGATGCGAAAAAAGTGATGTCGATGTTTTCTGTTATTTTTTTATTTTACAAATCATCTTCACATTCGAAAATCTTTTTTCGTGTAAAAATATTTGGATAAGCAGTGATAAACCGACGAAAACAAATTAATTGTTGGCTTTGTATTGATTTATTAGTTGCCGCCGGTTGTATTCGAACTGGATGAGTTTTTATGCTGACGAATAGTCACACTTTGCTCTGATGATGATTAAGTTTCATATGCAGTCAGTGTTAACTAAGCAATGAAAGCTTTTAATCGCAGATTAAATTTTAAAACGACCTGTTTTTAAATCAAATATTGAAACTTTTAATTTGTGCAGTTTTGCCGATTTAATTTCTTCTTTAATAAAAATAATTTTTATTGGTTTTGCTTCCATGTTTTTCTCACTCTCATATCAGGAAAATTCACTTAAACATAAAGTAATTATAGATTGAACTTACGAGCATAAAATGAATGCTTCGATACATGTTCGGTTAATTGAAAGCGTAAGATTTAAATTGAATGTTAAAACTTTTCACGCAATTCTCTCATGAAAAATATTCCGCCAGGTTCAACTTTGAAGCTTAAACCATCAGTAAGTATACCTCATACATAGTTTCAACTTCACTAGTCATTATGGATGCATTTTCGATTTTATATCAAATCCTTCAACACAAAAAGATTCTTTTAAAAGAAGGGAAAAAAGGAAATTCGTAAACGTTCCCTATAAGACCAACGATCGTGCCTAACCAAACCAAATGTGGCGAGATTTATACAAATGGAAAAACAAGTTTTTAAATAATTTAACAATCATTTCAATGCATTCTCTCACACAGTCAGTTGTCCAAACAAGCTTTGTTTTCAATTTAACAAAAATAAGAATTTTTTTTGGCAATTACGATCATGAAGAGTGAGCGCGTGTTGAAAAATAATTGAAATAGGTAAAAAATTGAAACTTGTGCTCAATATGATAGAAAATTCTTGACAATCAATAATGAATGATCAATTAGCGAGTTTAATGATTTAAGTTGTTATTTATTTAAATGCTTCACCGGAAATAATGTTCTTTTTTCGCAATTTAATTGGAGATCAAGAATAAAAGAAGGTTTCAATATCCTCAATTCAATGTGGTTTATCTTCATTATAATGCAATACATTGCATCAGGTAAAAATAGCATCTTATTAACCAGCAGCAGCATCAGTCAGCCACTTCCGTTTTGTGTTCAAGATTTTGATGATGCATAATTTATGATTGAGAAATATCGAAAGTAAACAAAGATTTTGCTCTCGTTTCGAAGGAGGATGCAAAACAAACCACAAAATCGATTTCAATTGTACACGTACACGTACAATTTACATTGATTTTGTTTGATTTCGACTCACGTTCTCGTTAACATAATTTACCGGTGCAAATTGTTTTTGGAGATTTATAAAAGATTTAATAGAATTAATTAATAGCTTAGCAATTTGTCAACCAATTAATAATTATTCTGAGTACGAATTATCTACATTTTACTTAAATATCTAGCAACAAAAATAAATATCCAATTTATCACAACTGTGTAATCTTCTTAGGGTGATAACGTTGAAAATTATCAGAAAGATTCAATTGTCTAATGTTTCAGCATCTCTTTCAACAAACAGACAATCAATCAATGTGAAGAGAAAATCTTGAAATGAAATTCAAAGACATTTACGATCTAAGATGGGAAAAGAAAAATTAAAAGAATTCAAGACAATCTTTAAGAAAATATTTCTCTCCTTGTTCTGCTGATAATTAGTTTTATTGATTTTTCGCCATCATTAGTCATTCGGCATTTCGAATTAATTAACCCAAATTTGCATTGCAAGACCTCGTTTAGCTTCAGACTTCTAAACTTGTTTTCATTTTATTAATGATCGTTCCAAAAACACCAGAACATCCCTCGAAGTAACATCAAATCCTCAAAGAACTCAATTTTTCTTCGGCATTCTATTGTTGTGCAGTTGAAAAGGAAAATTAACTCATCGTCAACGAAAAGACAAACGATGTGTAATTTTGATATTCTTCTTCTAGGGATGAACTTGAGTATTTTTTACATTAAATATTTTTTGGGGGAAGAAACCGGGGTGTCTTTGTCTTTATTGCAAACGATAATGACGTTTTGTTTTTTCCTCTTTTTCTTCAGCGTTTTGATGGATTTTTATAAGGCCAATTCATGATGTGCGGGTGAGAAAGTCTCACTGTGATGATCTTTAAAAGACAAACTACAGTCTTTAAGAATACTTTACTTCCCGAAGAGATTCTTTTGCGGCGAACATGAATGAATGCTCTTAATCTGATACTTCTTTGTTCACAATTTCCATCATCGATGACTGGCATGATAGTGATGTCAATGTCATTGTGCTTATGTATCTACTGCGGCTATTCTCTTTAAACATTTATCATTCGGAAGCGTTTTATGATAAATGGTTTACATGTTCTTCTGAAAACATGAAATTTTATCAAATTGATTTAATTTTGGAACTTCCCTTAAATATTTGAATTGTTTTGTCTTTAATCGCAGTGCATCGCTTCTAATTGAGGTGTATCGGTGAAACAATTTGATAAAAGAAATTACGATAAGAGTGGAGCATGCAATGCCACGCCCATTTACCAAAAAATGAAATACCTGATTCGTGTCTGTTTTCCAGGAAACAAATAATGTGACACGCCCCAATTTTCTTATTCTTATGCCTTTCATATTTTTTTTCATCATATGTCAGCCTTTATACTCACATCAATAATCCTTTCATTGAATTAAATGTCTTTTTGACTTTTCAAACTTTGATTTGATGAAGACATCTTTATTAAGAAAATTTTTTTGATTTAAACAAGATCTCATATTGAGCTTGTATCAAACATCTAAACTTCACATTAGCTTATGAAGAATTGATTAAAATATCTTGTCTAACAGACACTTTGATAAATTGATATGTAAATATGTACCATTGATTTATTGATTGTCATTATTATTGTGTTGAGACTTACTTATAATGATAGATTTCTAAGTTGTTAATGACCTTAAGTATATTGTTGAAGATACTGTATTATAATTATCTGAATGATAATCATCAATACTCTGTCTAGTATATTAAATTATTAAAACTTGAAATTCCCGAAAAAGTGTTCTGTGAGAGTGTAATCCAAAGACTTGAGGAAAATCATTTAGATTTTTCCTTGTAATGCAAATCAAAGAATTAAATTTTATAAATCAAACTTTTCCAAAAGCTTTCAATAAGCAAGAGTCTTGTTCTTTTTTTGAAAACCTTTTCATTCGTAGAAACAAACACTAGGTAGAAAGAATGGGAAAATGAGGGACTTGACTGCTTTAATCATCACTTACATAAGTGTCGTTAATTTCATTTTATTAATTTTATCATTTCACGAATTATTGTAAAACTGAAATTGTCACTGATACTAATCAAATTCAATTCTTCTTTTATGAAAAGGAATGTTTCATTAATTTAATATAAAAAGCATAATTTTCATGATAACAAACGAAATTTAACGTTTTTATAAAAAATATCCAGGACACATTGAAAGTCAAGTGATGAAATAAGTCAAGTCATGCGGAGGTCGTATAAAATATCAAGTTTTAGTAAAGACACATTAAAAAGACTAATAATGTTTTAAATTGTCATTTAACAGCATTTTAGAATTTCTAAACGAATTCTTGTGATTCTTCTTATATACTTCTTTTTAATTTAATTGCACTTTATGAGATATCAATGTTACTTATTTGATCAACATTTATTTACAATTTATGCTTAGAAAATGGTTCCTAAAATCAAAAAAATTGTTATTTTTACTTCCGTCTGATGCATTTCTATTCAATTTTTTTTTATTTAAGCCAAAGGTAGATCGTCCAAATTCAACACTGAATCAGTAAATTGATGTATTCGAAAACTGAACAAATTTTGACAAAAAGAAAAAGAAAAGAAAATAAAAGTTCACATATGAATACAGCACTAAGAAAAAGTTTCATTCGTTTTGAATTAAAGTAAAAATATAAAAAAGAAACTCCTTCCACGAAGAACTTTTTACAATTCGATGGTGTGAGTTGCTTGAATTATTGCTTTAAAGGAAGAGGAAAAGAAAATCATTCCATGTATATATTATATTTATTTTGTGAAAACAGAAAAGAAGCAGAAAGAAAATAAGGATGATGATGGTGTGCACTTTTCCACAAGCTTCTTTCTATCTTATGTTATCCAAGGCAATCATTTCTCTTTAATAAATTCTAAGAATTTCAAACCAATTACAATCTGCTATAAAAAGAAAAACCTAATTTTATTTAAACATTTGAGTATCGCGCTTTGATTCTTATGAAAACCTTATGCCATTTATATACACAATTCTTTCAACTAACATACATGAAATTCATGTCATTTTTTTTCATTCGTTCTTTGCAAACGAGAAAAAAAATGAAATTCCAAGCAAATAAAAAATACGATAAGAAAAAAAAAGAAATTGCAGACAAACACAACATGGAAAGTATCCATAAAAAATCCGCTACAACAACATCCAGCATCAACAAGAAAATGAAAAGGATTTTTTTCTTCCACCCATCTACACATGATGTAGCAGAAGAAATTGAAAGAAAAAGAACCGAGAGATTTCCTCGATGCATTTTTGCTCCCATCTCAGATGATTCTTTTTCTTTCTTCCTTTTCAGGCTTCGTGTTTGTATGATATGATTCTTTTCTCCTTACTTAGGGATCGGATGTCAGTGTTGCCACTATTAAAATTAAACCTTTTTAACTGCTTTTTGATTGTCATAATGAAAAGTTGTGTAAATGACTGATTTTTAGATCTTTCTTTTTGTGAAACTTTTTTATCAATTTAATAGAAGAAAGTGACGGATTTGCCACATGATTCTTTTTTTCTTATTTAGTCTCAATACATACATGTGGCTCGGAATAGATGCTGAATGGGGAGAAACTTTTTTATTGTGCTTTTTCCACCCTCTTCTCGAATGTATACACAAAAGTTGTGTACATATTTTTGTGCTCGGAAAGAACAGAAAAAGTAGTAATGCGAAAGCATCAAGACGTTCGTCGCGGTTTTTTTCTGTTTTCTGTGAACTTTTCTTTAAGTTGAGTTCTAAAACTCATTTAATCGTTTGTGTATTAAAAGACAACGTGCATTGTAAATAGTTCTTATTAAATATCGCACATGTGATATCACATTCACACTATATCAAAAAAGTTCCTATTACCTGTGAAAGCTTTTTCTTTGAAACTGCTTTTTGGTGCAACAACAAAGTTCCTACTTTATACAACAGTGAAAAGTTCCTAAAATAGAATTAAATAAGAAAATCAGACTTTCAATATTTTATCATCCTTCAAATTGAAGCTTAAAGCTATAATCAAAGTTGAGGAGTATATTTTTAAAGTGACGAGATAAAAGTGACGGTTTATTATAAGATTTATGAATGAGGGAAGACTCTGCTGAATGGAAAATGGGATTTGGATTAAATGCTAAACTAAACAACACAATCATGTCGAAAAATCCTTTTCTGCTTCCACCAGAATTTTATAAAAACCTGTTTGCTGCAAGTGCAATACTGCAAAAACCAAATCAAAGTCAAAATGATTGTAACAAACTTTTTAATGCTCAGAACTTTCCCAAAAACTTACTTTTTTCTTGTGGAGACAATAAAGAGGTGATTTATAAAAGAAAATCTTTTTTAATTTCAACAAATCTTTTATTTATGTTCTTGACTTACATGTTTTCAATAAATTTTAGAAAGTAACTTAATCTTTATCTTCTTTTCTTCTTTCTTTCTTCAGCAAAAAGCGTTATCGGAATATTCAGCAAATAATCGTGTTGTGGGTTCGAAAAGTCGAACGGAAAAGGATAAAATTAAAAAAATTAATTCTGAAGTGAAGTCTTCTTCTGAATCGAGCACTATTAATCATCACGATAATTATTACGCTTTGTCACCGATAAGTTCATCAAACCTGGATACGATGCCTGTACCCGGTGGTGTGCAAGGCCAAAATCCAACTCAAGGTGAGTTAAATTGAAGCATTTTAAGAATGGTTCAACTAAAGTTAATGAATCAATTTAGGACTTGTTCACTGGATGAGTGCAGTCATGGCCGAGCACATTCAAACTTCTAACACACATCACGACCCAGCGGTCGGCATGCATTATATGTGGAACGGCTCGGTTGATGTAAGTTTTTTTTTTTTTCTTCGAAAAGTTCGTTTCATATTCTTCTCACTTATCTTCTTACTCAACGGAATGAAAAGTAACAGGGTCAGGAATATATGTAATCACGTATCGTCTTTTATTTATATAAAAACTTTAACACTTATAAGTGTTTCTTAAAAAGCAGAATCTGTCGTGATAATTAAAATTTCTGTGGATTATTCATTTTATAATGATTAAAATTTCTTTCAATTCAAAAGATATTTTCAAGTTTAAATTAAAAACAGAAAATAAGTTTTCATTCTTGAGAAGCAATAAGCCAAAAGTTCGTTAGTTTCAGTAAGAATAGTAATATAAATAAATACAAAGTTTATCCCTGCATCCGAGACCGAACTGAAATTGAGGTTGTGTGAGGAACACAAACATGAAAAAACATAAAAACGACATAAAACATAATACGGGAAAAGGTGTAAAAATTCTTTTCCTCGCATCCACATTTCACTGCTTCATCCAGAATAAAAAAAATGGCAACAGAAAACTGCGATTGAAAAATCAATAAAAAGCAGACGAAGAAAATAAAAATCATGAAACGTCACATTCACATATACACATCGATGTTTCCTTTTTTTTCGGTGGCAAATGCTGTTTCATGCTGAAATTCATAAAAATAATAAAACTTCAAATTGGTCATTAAATTTTTCTTTACAATCGCAATTGTTTCAAATTTTCAGGACGAAATTCTTTCGTAAAGTTTTGAAAAGAAGAAAATTTAATTTACTTGATCCAACATTCAGAATTTACAGTTTGTTGGTAAATAAACAGTTTTATTTAAATTATATTTTAATGATTACCACCACGGGTAATTTTCAAGATAATTAATTTTTATTAAGTGACTCCTAGAAGTCAATTGACAATTGTGTCAACATGAAAATAATTGATTCACATTAATCCAGAAAACCTTTCACTATTCAGTCTGTTGAATAATTTTCATGACTTTCTGATACGAACAAAATAAAAAGTTTAATTAATTTTGTTTGTCTTAAAACTATATAAAACATAGTTTAATTAAATATTGTTATATTTTTGCTTGAAAATTGTAGCAATGTGGTCAACATGCGAAAGACATTGTAGACGGATACAACAGTTGGCCCACTCCAAGAAACCACATGTCGATGAAACAAACGGGCTATGAGGTACCCTTAAGAAACAAAAACAAAAACAAAACATACGAACCAGAAACAATTTTCTTTATCTTTTCTTCTAACTTCTTTAAGTATATTCCAAAAGTTAGACATTTTCCTCTGTCTTTTATTTTACTTTTTATTTTATTTTTTGTCTAAGCACTTGTTGAGTCATTTTCTCATAAGTTCTGTTTGTACCTCAGATAGATTCTCTCTATTATCATTGAGAAATTGTTGCTTGTTTATTCACGTTTTAAAGTTTGTCTTGGCTTATTTTCAGTTTATTTTTTCAATCTTATGACAACGATAAATATCTTTACAGGCAAAAATGAATGCTGTGGATCATCACAACAATATTCCAAAAGGTAAGTCAATAATTTATGTTGATGGAAATCTTTTTTCAGCTGAATTTAAGAATCTCATGTAGTGATAAACATTAGTGAACATTGTGTAGAAGTTTAAATCGCATTCACCATCGACTTGTCTTGCGTTACTGACAATTCCTCGTAAATAATAAATTTCTTCGTTGTCAACTGTTTGCGGGAAAGTCAAACCAGACCCAGAGTCACCTGAAATTTAATTCAAGTTTTCAAAGATTTTAACTAAATCATTTAAAATTATTTATAAACCTTGACAAACGGCATCGGTGCCTCCACCAGCACAGAATCTGACGATGAAAATGAATTAATTCTTGAAGATTAAAATTTCTTCACTTCTTTTTTACTTATCTGGGGTAACGAACTGTTTGAAGTTCTGAGGTGCTTCTCGTTTACATTTAGAATAGTCAACTGTTGGCAATTTAGCAATTTTTAAATAATCGCTGGGCTCACCACCAGCTGTAGTGAAGCCCCAGCCACCAACTGTTCCCATAAGTCCATGCTTAACAACCGTTTCTTCTTGCAACAAAGGATCTCGATCAACACAAATAGGAGCAATATGTTGACGGAACACAATAAAATCGTCAAGCACAATAATAGCGAAATCGGCAGAAAAGAATCCCATGTATCCTTTAAAAGAATGAAATGCAATTTACTGTAGAGAAAATATGAAAAATGTGAATAAGAAAACTTGCCATCGTAACCAGGAACTGAAATGATTTCTTTGACATTAAAGAATTGAGGGACGAAATCTTCAAATGCGGAAATATTTCGAAAATATTTTCCGACAGCAATTTTGAAGAGTGCAGTGTCTTCGAGTACTACACTTTCTGATAAACTTGAAGGTTGTTCACGGAAGAAACAATGTGCAGCACTTATAATAAGTCTGGAATATTTAAATATAAGTCAGCATTAAAGTCGAAGGAAAATAATTGAAAAACCTTTCAGAAACAATGGAACCTCCACAAATTAAAATATTTCTCTTGTAAATGGCTGCAGTCCATGGAACTTCAGCAATATTTTGTGCCTTCTTTCCATTGACAACATAAGCAGTTGAAAACTGAAACAAAATTTGATTTAATTTCTTTAAAGTTTTGAAAGAACTTTAAATGTTCTGACTTGAGTGATTCTCCCACATCGTGGTTCGCATCGAAGTGCTAATTTATCCCAACTTCCTGATGACAAGCATGTCAACTTTTTCGACAAATGCGTTCCATCTTTTGGCTCTTCATAATATGAGCCACATTCAATGTAACATTCTGTTCCGACAATGTGTTGTTGATTACAAGGCACGATTTTTCCATTCAACTCGCAAATTGTTTTGATTGTTATTCCAGTGACATCACCACCACTGCATATAGCTGAAAGATTTTCCATAGAATTTGATACTCTTATAAATATTTTAATCATTACTTTGACATTCTGGAAATGAAATCCATTTTCTAGTCCACTCAGAGTTGTTGCAAGTGTTGGAATAATCGAAGTCTTCACTGACATTCATTCCTTGACCGGGTGTGCATTTAATTTCGATGTATTCTCCGTTGTTAACATAGGCACCCGCCATGTACTCTTCTTGGAATATTTCATTAATGTAACGGATGTCGGATCTGCTCGGAAGTTTACATGATCCTGGTGGTATTTTCTGTGTATCATTGGCTTTAATTTTTTGAAACTGCGGACTTGAACCGCATAACAATTCATCTTCATCAGAACCATCAACGCAATCAATTTTCCCATCACATCGTGAGTCTTTTGAAATGCATGCACCATAACGACAACGAAATGCGAACTTTGGACAGAATGCTTTCAAGCATATTGATTTTTCTTCGTCAGACTCATCAGGACAGTCGATGGAACCATCGCAAACTTTTACTGGATCGATACATTCACCTGAAAAGCAACGATATTTGTCGATTCTGAAATTTCATCAAATTATTCTTCATTGCCTATAAATGTTTCATTTACGACTTACGGACATCCTACCAAAGCATTTTCTTCCTCTTCCTTACAATTTGCTTTCAATTCGTCAGAACCATCGAGACAATCTTTTTTACGATCGCAAAGCTTCGTTCTGTCAATACATGGTCCATATGAACATCTGAATGCATATTTCGGACATTGAATTGTTTCACAAACTTCTTCAAGTTCATCAGTTCGATTAAAACAATGAGCTTTTCCGTCACAAACAAGTTCTGATGGAATGCAACTTCCATCTCCGCATGGATATTCAAACTTGCCACAAGGCTTCATAACGTTCGCTTGAATTAGAAATTAAAGTTTTTCTTTTCAAGAGTTTTATTAAGATTTGTGTTTTTACGAATTCAAAAGTTTCTTTACTTTATGAATGAAAAAATGATTGAAGATTTTTCTTATCAGTTTCACAAGTCAAAGTTTTTGATTAACTAATAGAGAAATAGTCAAATAGTTTATTAATTTTGATATTTTATGCTTACCATTTACAAGAAAGCAAACCGTTAACAAAGGCAACACAACAATCTTCATGATTGCATAAATTTCATGAGATTTAAAATGCAAAAAGATTTTTTCAACTAAAATTAATTTACTTCTCAAAAGTCAGTAAACAAGTGATCGAGAGACTAAAAATTCGACAATCCTATGAGCGATTTTAAACATTAATCTCAAATTTTGTTTCTCCCAATAAAACATAAACAAATTTTATTCATTCAAAATTTCGATTAAATAATTTAATGTAAAACTTGTTTTTTAAAATATTTGCAGGTCATTTGTTAGATGATGGAAGATTGGATCATCACGGTATTCAAGGTGGTCAGATGACTCCAATTTATGGTGCTTCTGGAGCATTACGTGGAGCTTCTAACAGCAACTCTCCTGCAAATCTACACGGACAACCATCCACACTTCTTGTCGTGCCACAGCCAATTAATGCCACCAAAATCTCGTCGGGTCTGACCAATGGCAATGGCAGAAAGTATCAATGTAAAATGTGTCCGCAGGTGAGTTGTAATTTACACATCAACCTTCCAGTAAAGTAAAATTACCTTACTTAAATGAATATTCATGAATTGAAGACGAAAAAAATTCAGAGATTAACTTGCAAAAAAAATATCATCAATTTTCCATCACTTCTATCAAATCCCGTTCAGAAAATAATTATGTTTAAGTAAAAAAAGAAAAAGAATTGATTGAAAAAAAGCGCTGAAAAATCTGAATATTTTATTTATCAAAGGAATGTATTTAATTAAATTTAAAATAGAAATTAATTTCAAGCGAACCTGAGCTGTGGATTCTTAGTCGCTTTCCCGACCTTTTTCGTAGCAAGCTCGTCATTCTCTCCTTTTATATCACAGTCCACTCATTCTATTCAATGTCCGCTTGTAATAAGATCAATTTTCCATCAGATGACGGGTGAGGGGTTTCAAAAATACAATTCACGGAAAAAAAGCTTCCATTTATTAAAAAAAGTAATTAAAAAAATTTATTCAACAAACCACCTCACCCATTTGGTTTGAGCTTCTGTGCCACCTTAAACAGCAACCAGAAAAAAAATTAAAACTTTCAACGAGAAAAAACTGTTTTTGTGTGTATGAGCAATAAGTGAACGCGGACATTCTTGTACACGAGACTTTCGGTTTCCTCAATCGTCACATGAACCTTGTTGAAGTCATAAAGCCATGTTGAGCTAAAGTTTTGTTCTCTTTAGTTATCATTTTCTCAAATTATATATTTTTAAAAATGCAACCCTTTCCCTCTGTCCAGCCTCGCACCACCATCAAACGCGGAAAATGAGAGAATTTTTTTCTGCTATCTCGCAGCTGCCCATCTCACACTTTTATGAGAAAAAAAATCCGAAATTTTCTCTCAATTTTTTTTTCTTTCCCTTCCTCTTCCACCCCCATTCTCAATGACATGTACCACAACATTTTTTTTATGTAAATTTCTCCTAGTATTGCACTCAAACCAAAAATTTATTTTTTAAAAATGATTTTTCAATTTGTTGAACTTTGAACATGTAAAAGTTTTCGAATCAAATTCAGGAAAACTTTTGAAAAAACAAATTCAAACGAAAGTAAATTCAAGCTTAAAGTATTTAGAAAGATCATCAATGAAGATTTTTAAGTGACGACTTGACAATAATAAGTACAGAATTCTGAAGAATATCTTCATCGACACTCGCCAACATATTCAACGTCATATAAAATGAATGAATCGTGTGGTTTTATTTAAGAAGAAAGATTTAAACTTCAGCACAATGCAGTCAATGAAGAAAAAGAAGAAAAGGTGTGCAATTCACATTCTAGATAAATTGAACATTCCAAAGCAATTTCGTGGCTTTCTTTCTTTCTTTTTTTATGCTGACTCGTTCTAAGTTCTTATTAATTTATTTTCAATGATGTTTCTTAAACGTTTAGAAAGAAATATTTCCTAATTTTAGTGACAGTTTCAATAGCTAATCTATCTTATTTAATAGCATGATTTATGTAACATTAACTTAGAATAAAGCCCCAGACATAAAGAGTGTGAGTTGAATGGTGGGTTGAGTGCAACAGCAAAAAACCTTGTACAAAAAGTTGAATCCTTTTGGTGAGAGAGAGAAAAACATAAAAAATTTGAATTTTAAAACATCGAAAAAAAAAATCATTAAAGGACCAAAGAATTTTTTTTCTGCTATTCGTCGCTTAAACATAGAGACAATCAGAGCCATACACACTCATTCACTCACACAAGCAGATGCCAGGCAAGGGGTGTTTTTTTTTTCATTTTGGGTGTTCTAGTGCTGGCATTTTTTATTATTCAATCATTTCCCTAAATGTTGTTGTTGGAAAATTCTTTTTCTCTTTTGGCGAAGCGGCGAAAAAAAAAACGGAAAAATTCACTACACGAATCTTCATGGCTTGATGATGACGACGATATTGTGTTAGTCAGTTTTTAGTAGAGTTTTAACAACCTAATGAGAAAGAAGGTTGAAAAAGGATTGATGAGAAAAAATATTGAACTTCAGTTGTTGGTGGAGTATAAAAAAAGTTAGAAGTAGAGAAATGGAAAACGTTCGAGTCTGTGATAAAATAATTTTATTACAAGAGTTTAAATAAAAACAGCGGGAATATTTAATTCAACTCGAGTTGGTTATAAATTTATAAGTAATAAAAGAAGAAAAGGGAAAGATGATGGAAGCAAGGATTATTGAATACCCGCGATCAAGTGGCTTGGAATATCATCACAATTCACCTCTTATCGGTGAAATTCCTGCTAATGATTACACGCATTTTCATCGCTCAATAGATCAATTAAGATCTCTAAATGAACGGGGAATATTAAATACAAATCATTTCCAAAATGTTCTTGTTCCATCAACAAGCCCAATGGTGGTACATGCAACGGGTGTCTATAGTGAAATAAAGCTCAACGATGATAACAGAATGCTCAACGAATATCAATTATCGAATAAGCCATTGCGAAGAAATGGTGATGAAATAATCGAAGAAGAAAATGTAGCTGATGAATATCAGCAAAAGAAAAACGCCGGTAATGAGACGGGAAGTAATTTTCGTCTAATTCATTCTCCTCAACAATACTCGTCGATATCACCTGTTAATGTCAGTGTTCAAAACGGTCATCCTCAACATAATAATACTTTTGTTGTTATGGAAACATCTGTCGATGGAGACAGTCAAACGAAATCGAAGGTGCGATGAAAGAATTTATTAATTAATTCATTCAGTTTAAAATCAGTTATGATGAAAGCATTCAAATCTATTAACTTTTGTCGTGAAACCACAGAATTTCAAGTTGGAGTTGAAGGTTTCTCTATTAAACATTCAACACAAAGCAATGGCAATAAATATACATAGCGAACCCCTTTCCGGTTCTCCCGCAAGCTCTTTCATAAGCAAAGCATTTCTTTTTTTTTTAATTAAAAAAATCTTAAATTTCATTTGGATGGAAAAGAAAGAAAGATGATGAAAAAAAATGTAGCGTCTAGGAGAAAGTTTTTGTGGAATGAGAGCGGAAAATAATAGGAAGAAGGCGCATCGTTGGTTGGACATTCTAATTAATTTCCCATTTCCACCAACAAATTTTTAATTGATTTTATTTATAAAGAGCTTCACATAATATTTCCAGTTTGTGACTTCATTTCAAAATGATGTTTAATTCAAAAGCTTTAAAAACGTTCTGAATGGTAATTAAAGTGTCAATAAAAAACAAACAAAATCTGCTTTAATTGTTTAGCGCTATCTTTAAACTTTCATCAAAGATGATGATATTAAAAATATTTTATCATTTAATCAACGAAAGTGATGTAAAAGCTTTTAACAGTCGAGAAAATGTTTCTTGAGATAATTCTGAAACGCATTGCTGATTGAGATTCAATTTGTTGATTATTTTTTCAAACCTCAATGGTGAAGTAGCAAACAAATTTATCATAATAATTTGAAAAGAATTCAATCATTAATTGAATAACAAAAAAAGAAACATTAACTGATAAATTTGATTCTCTTTTTTGCAGTTACTTTTTCAAACTATATTGCTATTCGCTTCATTAACGAGTGAAATGAGAATCATTTGCGAGTTTCTATTTCTTATTTTATGAATGAAAACATGTCTAGTGGTTTGTAAATAATAAAAAATCGTGGTCATATCTCATCATTTGAACGGTACTGTTTGATGAAATATCGGAATAAAACTCATGATGGAAATTTAATGACATTTTTTAAATCTCTGATGCTTTGAAAATCTTTTGGGATTTCAAAAAAATCCCGACGATGTCGAGTCGAAAAGGATGAAAAAAGATTAACAATTTTGATTTGTTTATTATTTTTAGATTTTCACCTCCAAAGCGGACCTTCAGTTGCATACACAAGCTCACATGCGTGAAGCTAAGCCGTATAAATGTACACAGTGCTCAAAATCATTTGCTAACTCAAGCTACTTGTCTCAACATACCAGAATTCACTTAGGAATCAAACCTTATCGTTGCGAAATTTGCCAGAGGAAGTTTACTCAGTTGTCACATCTGCAGCAGCACATAAGAACACATACTGGCGATAAACCATACAAATGCCGCAATCCTGGATGTGTCAAAGCATTCTCGCAATTATCAAACCTTCAATCGCATTCCCGAAGTCATCAGACAGACAAACCATACAAATGTAATTCGTGTTATAAATGTTTTGCTGACGAACCTTCACTTTTGGAGCACATTCCAAAGCACAAGGAATCGAAGCATCTTAAGACGCATATATGTCAATATTGTGGCAAGTCTTACACACAAGAGACTTATCTTCAGAAGCATATGCAGAAACATGCTGAACGTACTGACAAACGTCCACCAATAACTGGAGGGAGAGGTGGACATGGAAACGCAAACAACCAAGGTGCTGGTGGCAACAGCAATAACAACAACAACAGCAATGCAAACAACGACATAACGATGAACAATTCAGTTCCTGGTATGGCAAATCAAGAACATCCTTATTGGCCAAAAGTCAGCCCAGATTCTGCTGCAAGCATTACAAACGATTCCCATCATCAGCTTCATCAACACCAGCAGCATCACGACTTCCAATTGGTGAATGGTCATGACATGCAATCTCATCAACGTGAAGAGAATATTGAAGATTTACGACAAAATGGACACATAAGTGCTCAATCGTTGTCACTGCCACCTGCTTCCACTCCCAGCGGTTACGATGTTCAATCAAAATTGACATCTAATTCGGCATTTACTCCTATTAATTCAATGCCACCGCATATAAACATCCAACATCATCAGTTGTCGCAGAGACCATCGTACATCTATGACGCTATTAGCTTCCAAAATAAAAACGTCGCTCAAAACACGGGCAATGGTTTTCCTAATCAACTAATATCACTTCATCAGATACGAAACTACGCTCATCAACCGAGTGGGCTGATGGCTGGTGAACACATACTTGGTGTGAGTGTTGGAAAGGATAAAGGTTAAGAAATTTGATAGTTTTCGATTCTGTAAAATTTAAATTACTTAGATTTAGTGTAAATTTAACCATATTTGACTTATAAACATAAAGAAAGGTTACTTTTGAAGATGTATACTTAATCCATAAGTGTAAGTATAAAGTTTTAAAGTCACACGAACCACCACCGTCCAATGTTTTGTTCTTTTATTTTTAATCTTTCTTTGAAATAAATATTTCATTAAGAAATCTCGATTGTTATGAACAATTTAAGTTTTAAACACAAACGAACAATAAACTGAATCCATAAAGTTAATGTTTATTAAACATTTCTTAAGTTCCTTTATGCATAAATCACGAATAGAGTTTTTAATCACATTGCACAATTTTGACAAAAGAAAAAATAAGTTTTTAATGTTCACTGTGCAAAATTAATATAAAAAAGCTCATATATGAGTAAACATGAGAATTTTGAAACATTCACATTTACAAATCGAAAATTTACTTCAATAGCAATTATTCAATTTTAATATTAAAGAAAAAAAATTAGTAATGATAATTCCATTTTAAACTTGAAGTGAAAAAAGGAAAACTGTGATATATAATTGAACTAATATTTCTAGCAACTACGAAGAAAACATGTATCAAATGTTTCTCAATATTTTCTATGATTTTCTTCTTCATCTTTATGGAGAAATTTCTTTTCTTTTCTTTTTTTGTCAGACTTTCAATTAATTTGGCAACAAACAATTGAAATCGTTTTTCAATGAAAAATTTATTTTCTGAAAGAGTTTCTATAACTTTCAAGCATTCTCCTCTGATCTTAAACATAGACGTAAAATTCACAATCAGAATCATCTTATAAATGTTAAAATTACGTGTCGTTTCCATTCATTATATTAAATAAATATTTGGATTTGTATACATTTCAGTACTTTGAATATTTGGCATACATACGCAGAATATCATTGATGATTTTATTACTTCTTGTACATAAATATTCCAGTATCCTAAAACTTAAATAAAATTTAAATGTAATATCTAAGACAAAGTTCTTTTATTCTTGTGATTAACATGAGTCTTTATTATTCATATTAGCATTTCTTAAGCGTACGCGTACAATTGCACAACAAGCTATAATAATGTTGTTAATTTAATTATCCAGTGCACTGCATAATTCAACTGCGATAAAATATTTTATTTCTTCTAACATCTGATAAAATTTATGAATGATAAAACATTGAAATGTTCCAAGAAACTTCATAAGTTAAAGCGATTAAATACTTGAGTTATTTTCTCTTTTTGTTTCTCTATAAATATTTGTGATGAGCGAAATAGCATTTTGAAGCAACAAGTGGTCAAGAATGTGAAAGTTTAGAAATGTTGGCGATTCTAAGTCTCCCCTAAAACAACCAGCAAGTAAATATTTTTTATTATTCCATAACACGAGATACTTACAAGATTTTCTTTCCAAGGACGAATAATTCAACCAAATGACAATTTTTTCAACCAAAATTGAATGAACTGCAGGTTGCAAGATCACGATTTTGTTATCCTAATTTCAAATTTGATTTTGGTCATCTCTTCCGTTAATATCTATTCAACTAGAGAGAAGGAAAAGAGACAAAATTTTGACGAAGAGACTTTCGAATTGCGTGATGAAATTTAAAGAGTTGAACTTCGACCTAGAGGTCGAGAGCTGCTTGTCTTTAATAGTTAAATGCAGCATGAATAGCATAAGGGATCGCAATATTTATAACAGGAATGAAGATGCGAATGGTAGTGAGAATGAGTATGATGATGATGATGTCTGTGATGGTATAATCCACATTTGTAGCATTTCCCATAGCATGGTTTATATTTGCAGCTTAAGCAGGAAAGACAACTACACGATGACAATCCAGTGCAGTACTTATGAGAGTAACAGCTATACAAGCAACAATCGCCATAAGAACACATTTTAGGCTGGCAATCTTAGATTTCTTAGAATCACTGGGAGTTTGTTTGTTTCTTGATAATTTATGTCGAACAACCTCAAGGTTTTCTTGATTGAAACTGGAAAAGAAAAATGGAAATGAGAAAATTCCAGAACATAAAAACTTCTATTTTCATAAATCGCAATATGAAATTGAGGGAGGAAAAAATTCAATAATCGAAACTTTTCTGCTTTTTAGTGTCACAACCTTCGCCTTATTTATAGTTTCAACCGAAACACAAAAGCGAAAAAAGCTTTTTTCTCAATCGTTTTCTTAGTTGTAAGTCAGAAGCTTGACAGGTTTGAAATTGCTAAGAATCGATTGACACAAAAGGTTGAAAGTCACGAAACAAACAGTCAAAGATCATTATTTCAACTCATTCCATTTCTTAGATTATTAAAATTGTTACTTACTTGCTTTATTTATTTTTACTTTTCAGAAACGACCTTGAAATTATCACAGAGTTTTGAAAAGATTTTACACGCTGTAATAATTGAAATATTTATCGAAGTTAATTAAAATCATTTTCGGATATTATTGTAACAATAATTTTGATTAAATTTTCACAATATTTTAAATGTTGAACCTTAAGAAACTTACTCGACAATATCAGACGAAGACGAAAAGGAAAATGTCTGGAATTTATAGAATATCAAATATTTTATAAAATCCAGACTTGTTTGTCAGTTCCTATGGTGATCTTTGCTTCACTTACATAACTCCAATTCGTTCGGGATTCTATTGAGTAAATATATTCACTGAAATTCGTACAAAACAAGTTTTGTTGTAAACATTTACATTATGCTTGTGGATGATTAACTTGAGTTATAGACAAAAAAGCAACGATTTACGACTGAGGAAAATTGACAACAAGTTGGAGCAATTTCCCTAAATTATTGCAAAACTTCATTCATATTTATTAAAAGAAAATTTAACTATCAAAAGTTTTATTCAATCTGCTTATGCGTTTTTACAATTCAAGCATTCATATTCACACATATCTATTGACTATTCAAGTTATAATATGCAATTATGACATAATTTCAATTGTATTATGTAAACTGATCCGAGAAGAAAAAGATAATTACGAGTTTGGAATATAATTGAGACTTGTTGCTGTGCCTTTCTTAAAGACATGTTGAGAAGGAAAAATTTATTCCGACGTGTAAATTTATATGAATGAACAATATGTATGAGCTCAAGTGCAAATGCGAGTACGTACTTACCTGTTATTGAGTATTTAGTTCAAAAGCTTTACACTACCGTTTGCATTTGTAGAAAAAAGCATGAAAAACTGGGAGAGGTTTCTTTAATGGACATTAGTGATCTATGTCCGCTACTCTCTTCATTCCACTCAACGATTATGCAATAAGTCTGATAATAAACATGAATGTTTTATGAGGTTGCACATTTCTGCACGTTCTAAACACGATATTCATAAAAGAAAAACCTAACAGCTGAATTTATTGTTTCTAATTTAAGAAAAGTAGATTACATCAAGTTCTGCGTAATGCTAACGAAGCTGCAAAGCATTCAGTTTAATTGACAGAGGCGATTTTTTTATACGTTCGTTGAAGTATATTGGAGTGTGTAGCATTGTTATCAATAGTCACCTGAGCAGTCATAACGCTTCATTTTCATTTAGCTTGTAAAGTCGTGATCGCAACTCTCTCATCGCTCTCAAACTTCACTTACTTAAGTCGCAATTTTTCTCTTTTTTCTCTCCCAGCCGGTAGTGAAAAACTGTTTTAAAAATATTAACATTCATTACTGTTGCAGCACCTGAAGTGTGCAGACGTATTAAATGTTTCGATCTGGAAGTTCAAAATAAAACTGTTTTTAACTTGTTTAATGGAGTGTGTAAAAATTTGTAGATTAACACAGAAAAAAATGTTTACAATCGTTCTTTATTAGTAGAATTGCAATGAAGGAAAAAGTGAGTGAAAAAAGTTTTTTGTTTCTTTAAAGTAAAAAAGAAGCCATAGAAATACAATCGATTTAGCGATTTTGTGGAAATTAAATGGATAAAAACAACAAACATAAAACAATTATTCATGAGTCGTGTAATAAAAAAAGATAAAACTAAAAATTACCCATGACCTTGTATTTCCAACTGACCAAATATTTACAGTTTTAATGAAATGTTTTTAAAATTAAAGCGTGCATCATTTGGATTAAGCGAAACATAAAGATATTCATCAGCAAATTTAACATCATTCAACTTAGAAATTTATAACTGTAACACTTACGAAGCCAAGCATTATTTTAGAGGCTGTAAGTTGTGTTTGCAAAAAAAAAATTAAAGACAGAGAGAGAGAAAGAAAGAAAGGAAAATAAAAATTAATTCACGGTAAGATTAGTGAAGAAATGAAATTTTTTGGTTTGATGAACAAACGATGTCAAAGAAAATAATTTTAATAAGTTAAAAATTTACATCAATTTTGTCACTAAACAATATGTTTGTTGACAATTTAACGCTGTCAGTCATCGCATAGGAAATTAAAATAACATGACTGTTGAAGTTCTTGTTTAAACTGTTTTCAAGTTCTTGACGAACAATGAATTTCCTCATCAAATCGCATTAGTGAGCATACTTTGTGTTTGTTTGCACAATAGATCACGTTGAGACTCTTTGAAAGTTTTTTTTTGTTAAAGAATCGTAATAAGGTCATTTCTTTGGAACCGCTTTCGGAAACTGTAGCGCAATAAATGCTGCTTCATCTACCAGATTTCACTCAAATCGAAGTTTTAATATGTAATTTAGTTCCAATCACTTCAAAGACATTTTGTTGCAACTTGCAACGCTCTCAATGTGGTTTTGATGTAAGATGAAAATCATTTCATCATTCCAATCAACAAATCAAAACATGTGCACATAGAAAGAGATACTTGATCATTAAAATTGCGTAAGAAACCAAATGAAAAAGCAGTTCTATGGTTTCTCGAATAATGATTTTCACTCAATTATGTGGCTTTTCTTTCTTGTAAAACTCTAATCTAATTATAATAACCACGCTTCAAAATCTGTTAGAAACAGCTTTAAAAAGACCAAGTACAGAAACACTTTTTAACTAGCAAGCACTCATACAAAGTACATACTGTTAGAGATAAAAAAGGGGTCACTTGTAAACAGACACACAGAAAAGAGTGAAACTGTTTGGTTTTTTGTTTTGTGAAAGGTGGAAAGTTCAAATTATGTTTGACATAGAAAAGCTCTCGTTGTTTCGGCACCGCAAAACATAAACAAAGAGATGGTGTCACGATAAAGAAAAATGTTAGTTTCATTACATAGTTTACTGAGTTTTTAATGTAATTTTAAATAATTAATGTTCTTAAAGTTGTTAAAGAATTTCATATTTTTTTGTGTTAAAAACAAATTCACAAGTCATGACTTTCCATTGTCAGTGTGATTGAAAATAAATAATTCACCGGACGGAATTATCATCGATTTTCTTATCATGACGAGTTCCTTATGATGAACGTCCGCTGAAAGAGAAACAGCAGACGAAACCCAGGAAAATAACAAATCAAATCATATCAAAATCATTTCATTATCTTTCAAGTGCTATTTTAAATGCTTTTTAAATCGTCTCCTGCTTAATGGATTTTTAACAACAACTTGTTCCGATCACGAGAGCAAATAAAATGTGGAATAAACTCGTCTTAACATCTCACACTTAAATTAGATGTTGCGATGTTTTATTTCCCGTTTTTCCTATATTATTTGCTTTTGAACATTGTTTAATTATGTTGACCAAAGACGTTTGCATGATACTTGTTGTTTCTTTTCCTTTGGCTATTTATAAATATTTATAAAAATATACAGAATGGCGAATATTTTTTCCGCATTCAGTCAGTAAGGTTATGAAATAAAAGTTGAAAAACGTGCAATCGATTTTGATACATTGTCGTGACATCATAAAGTTTCATTTATTATCAACTCACTTTTCAATAGATAAGATTACTAACTAAATTTAAAGGTATGAATTAAATGGCCAACACTTTGAAAATAAGTGAATTTAAATTTGAATTTTCACGGCTAAAATCTCATAAAGAGTCTCAAGGAAATCATCACGAGATTGAGCATAAAAGTGCGATTTCATGACGCTGCATATTTCATGAAAGAAAACTTGTAAGAATAGCGATTGTTTGAAGTATGTGAGTTGAAAAAGGCATTGAAAAACAATATCAGCTTTATTTGTTACTCACTTATCGTGACTACTGAATGGAACCCTTCGCTACATCTCATTTTCATTAGCAAACGGTACATTAGCGCAGTAGAAATTAAATATTGATAAATAACATAAAATTGTGTTAAAACTACACCAGATTAATGTTGAAACATGGGACATTATTTGCAACATTTTCAACGAAACAAAACATTTTTAATTGAAAATGTTAAACGACAAGTTTTTAATGCAGAGGATTTCATTAAAACTCTCATTTGACTAATTTAAAGTGAAGTAAATCTCCGAACTAGTTACATAAATTATACCAAGTATTTACCTAACAGATTAATTTATCTCTACGCATAGAGAAGAATTATTCAAACGAAAATAAATAGAAAACCAACATGAATGTGATTTCAATTGTAAACAATATGGCCAGACGCAACAATATGTAGCGTCTGAATGGAACAATGATCAATTAGTTTCGAAAAAAATACCTTTTTTGTTTTATGTTTTCAAATGAAAATCTCTTTCGAACGCAAGCATCATTAATTCCTCGAACCGAAGATACATAAAAGGGTTTTGAATACTTATCAAGATATTTTTGGGGAGATAATCTTAAAAAAACTTTAAAAATTAATTGCAAGTAAGGATGATTTATGAAAACATGCATAAAAGCTTTTATTAATTATATTAAAACAATTATCAATAATAATTTATTTGCATAACATCCATCTATACATATCACTTTATATAATCACATTATGATGATTTATGTAAGTTTTCTCAGGGAAACGACGCTGATAGACTTGTGAATTTGTGATCAAATACACAAAACTGTCTTCAATACTTCCAGACAACTCATTGTAACTGCCAAATTTATCTTTTTCTTCATGCTCACTTGTTAATTCACATCTTTTTTAATTACTTGAATAAAAACAATAGAATTAACGTCAGCGGCATCAAATCAATTGTTTAAGAATAATTTCTGTTCATCGGAAGGTATCTGGCTTTTCACTCTACTTAATACGCAATCTGCAACGGGAAAAAATTGTGTAATTCCAAATGATGAAACATTCTCTAGTATGTTTCAATTAAATTCACATTTTGCAAATTCCTAGCGCTGAACGAAAGTTAATTGGCAGCAAATTATATTAAGTTGAAAATTATTAGTAACAGCAGCATTCAAAAATTGATCTTTCCATTGAAACAAATGGCTTAATAAATGAAATCTCTTTTGTAATTGAACCAACTTTGATTTATTCGGAAGAACGAAATTATTTGTTTGAACTTGAAATAAAACAAATTTTTTGAAATTTGAAATAAAACCATAAAAGCTAAACTAGTGTTTATGTTTAGAAATAATAATGGCTTACATTGGATTATCACAACACATTGATTTTAATAAACTTTCCGTTCCGACTGAGAGATTTGAGCTCCAGCATCTGATAGGAGAAGGAACGTACGGTGAAGTTTATTGCGCAAAAGATCATGTTTCGGGAAAAGGTGTCGCAATTAAGGTATAGAAATAATTGCATTGAATCAAATTACCTTACAAATTAAATCAATATTTTGAAATAGATTCTCGAATCAATCACAGACAACTTGGAAGAAATCGAAGAAGAATTTCTTGTGCTTAAAGATTTATCAAAAGGTCACGATAATCTTCCTGAATTTCATGGAATTTTCCTCAAGAAAGGAAAACATCCAGAAGAAGATCAACTTTGGTTTGTTATGGAACTCTGTACTGGAGGGTCAATCACAGATTTAGTTCATGAATTACGACAGCGAAATTCTCGTCTTAATGACAAGTAAATTAAATTTAATTAAAAAGCATTTCAAATCAATAATTTATTGTTTTAAAGTCAAATCGCTTACATCCTGAGGGAAACAGTCAAAGCTTTAATTTATCTTCATGAAAACCACTGCATGCATAGGGACATCAAAGGTCACAACATTCTGTTGACCGAAAGAGGTGACGTTAAGTTGGTAGATTTTGGTGTCAGCTCTCATTTAGCAGCTACAATGGCGAGAAGAAACACGTCCGTTGGTACACCATTTTGGATGAGCCCCGAAGTTATTGCATGCGAACAGCAACTCGATCAAAGTTATGATTCAAGATGTGACGTTTGGAGTTTGGGAATACCCGCCATTGAACTTGCTGAGGGTCAGTTTCACTTAAAATTACCAAATTGTTTCTTTTAAATCTTTTCTTCATAATCAGGTGATCCACCGCTTTGTGACTTGCATCCAATGAGAGCTCTTTTTCAAATACCCAGAAACCCTCCACCAACTCTCGTTCATCCCGATCAATTCTCTCCTTTGTTGTCAGACTTCATATCTGAGTGTCTCGTGAAGGATTTTGAAGAACGACCTTTTTCTAAAGAACTTTTGGATCATCCATTTCTTAAGAATATTAATGAAAGTCTTGCGCGAAAAGATCTTAAACAAGAAATTGAACGACAAAGAGCTGAAGGTCGTGGAACGACACGACCAGCGGAAGCGACAACCAAATATGGGAAACTTAAATCCGATCGAAAATCAAAACCGGAAAAAATGTTGATTGACGATTTAGCGGCATTAGAAGTTTTATCAGAAGAGACAATAGTCAAACAGTTACGGAAACGGTTCGAATCTGATCAAATTTATACAAACATTGGTGATATTTTAATAGCTGTAAATCCATTCGAAAGTCTCGGCTTATACACTCAAAAGTATCAAAGAAATTATTGTGGGAAATCAAGAGCTGATAATTCCCCACATATTTTCGCGGTTGCTGACACATGCCATCAAACTTTAATTCATCAAAAGCAAAACCAAGCAATTGTTATCTCTGGCGAAAGTGGCAGTGGCAAAACTGAGAGTGCAAATTTACTTTTGAAACAGTTGGTGTTTTTGGGTCAAGCTCCCAATCGCAACATGTTGGAGGAAAGAATTCTTCAAGTTAATCCAATAATGGAAAGCTTTGGAAATGCTAGAACTGGTATAAATGCGAACAGCAGTCGATTTGGAAAATACTTGGAGTTGACGATGACACGAAATGGTAAAGTCACTGGTGCGCGTATTTCTGTTTATCTTCTAGAACAGAGTCGAGTCGTACAACAGAGTGAAAATGAAGGAAATTTCCATATTTTCTACTACATGTATGACGGTCTGGAAGCAGATGGCAAGCTACAAGACTATCATCTCGATGTTAGATTTAGAAAACATCACAAATACCTTAAAGAAACTTGTTCAAATCCCAAAGCAAATCAAGAAAAATGGAAGCAATTGAAGTCAAGTTTTAAAGTCTTAGGCTTTAAAGAAGACGATGTTGATTCAGTGATTCGAGTATTAGCTGCGATTTTAAATTTAGGTGACTTGCATTTCACTGAAGTTGTAACGAACGACAACACTGACAATAAAGCAAGAGTTGTTGACATGGCACCGCTTCATCGAGTGTCAAAACTGCTTGGAGTTGAATCATCGGAGTTGTTGGAATCGTTGACGTCAAATTCCGTTGTTACGCGAGGCGAAACAATAATTAAAAACAACACAGTAGAAGAAGCGTCGGCTGCTAGAAATGCTATGGCAAAAGCTTTGTATGGACGTTTATTTGACTGGATGGTAAATCAAATTAACACGTTGTTGGTGTTTAATCGTCCGAACATGCAAGAACCTTTATCGATAGGACTTTTGGATATTTTTGGTTTTGAGAACTTTGGTAAAAATAGTTTCGAGCAGTTGATGATTAATATTGCAAATGAACAGATTCAATATTACTTCAATCAACACATTTTCACTTGGGAACAACATGAATACATGTCAGAAGGGATTCCTGTTGATTTGGTGGAATTCTCTGACAACCGACCAGTTCTTGACATGCTTTTGTCACGCCCTTTGGGACTTCTAGCACTTCTTGATGAAGAAAGTCGTTTCCCAAAGTCATCTGATCGAACATTAACCGACAAGTTTCATGGCAACATTAAATCAAAATATTATCAAAGACCGAAATCTGATGCGATGTGCTTTGCAATTCATCATTTCGGTAATTTTTAATTATCTATGATAATTATCTGTTTGAACATAGATAATAATAATTTTTTCATGAATTTACAGCCGGGCGTGTTGTTTATCAAGCAGATGGGTTTTTAGAGAAAAACAAGAATTTCTTGCCAGCTGAAGTTATTCATCTTGTTAGACAAAGTCAATATGACATGTGAGAATGTTTCTTCATTCTTTATCGTTTAAGATATTTAATTAAATATCATTTTATATAGGATTCGTTTCTTGTTCCAATGTCCAATAACTAAAACTGGAAATCTTTATTCAGCACTTCAAGATACGGGACAAGTCAAAGGAAATTTTAGTAATAATCTGAACAGTCACTTTATGAAAATTGATACAAAAGTAGATAAGATAAAAGTAATTTCTAATAACTTATTTATTTAATGGCGATCTCTTTCACAGGAACGATTCAACAGTCGCGGTTTGGCTTCTCAAAGTCGCGCTCAACAAACAGTTGCAACTTACTTTAGATTTTCGCTTATGGACTTGTTACAGAAAATGGTTTCCGGTCAACCTCAATTTGTGAGATGTATCAAACCAAACGACATTAAAGCATCAAAGAATTTTGACGAGAGTAAGGTCATTAAACAGTTGAGATACACTGGAGTTTTGGAAACAATTAAAATAAGACAAAACGGCTTCAGCCACCGTCTATTGTTCTCTGATTTCTTGAGAAAATATTCATTTTTGGCGTATAGCTTCAATGAGCGTGTTAAGGTTAACAAAGAATGTTGTCGGCTTCTTCTTGTGAGGCTTAAAATGGATGGATGGGCGCTAGGAAAGTCAAAAGTTTTTCTCAAATATTATCACATTGAATTCTTGTCAAAAGTTTATGAAGAACAAATAAGGAAAATCATTTTAGTGCAAGCTTGTGCTCGTCGATGGCTTGCAAATCGTCATTTCATGAAATTGAAACGAGAACAGGAATTGAGTGCTTTGACGCTTCAAAAGCATGTTCGTGGGTGGCTTACGAGAAGAAGATTTGAACTCATGAGAGAGAAGAAAATTCGGGAAAAACTCGAGAAAGAAAGAAAAGACAGAGAAAATAGAATTTCAATCACGCCTTTCATTAGTCGCGAAGCACTTTTGAGGAAACTTGAGTCACAAGATAGATCGCATGAGAAAGAAAATCGTGCAGCAGTTGTCATACAAACATGTAAAAAATATTTCTCATTTATCTCCTTCATTTCGTTTTAATCTTTTCATTCCTTCAAGATTTCCGCGGATATACTTTGAGAAAACACAAATTTTCACCTGAGATGGAGGCAAAAATGAAAATAATTCTAAACACTGCCAGATCAAGACACGATGCTCAAAAGATGATGCAAAAGGAGAAATTTAAGGATGAAGACATCGTCAGAATATTACAAAAATATTACACGTGAGGATGGAAAACGATTTTCATGAAATTTTCATTTAAAAAGTTCATTTACAGACGAGGATCGCGTGAATTAATTTCATGCAGCAGTCCATCAGATCGTAAATCAATGTCAGATGAGTCATCGAGACGATCAAGAGATCATCAACTTGAGCTACTTAACTTCGCTCAAAAACTTCACATATTGAACCAAAATGTCCACAAAAATTTACGAAATAATAAATCAGGAATTCCTTTAAGTAGAATTGGCGACGTTCCACGTGATTATCGACGTCCACCGGGATTTTCTATTGTTCCGAATCTTTTGGGAACGAATCAACACTTAATGAATGCTGTGAGAAGTCCTTCAAAGACCGAGATGAATGAACAGATGAGGTAAAGTAATCCTTGATAAAAGCATTAAGTTGATGTGAATAAAACATTTAATTTCGCTATTCATGCACGGATTCAGTCCAATGTCGGACTTTGATTTTGAATCCCCTTGGGATTATCCTCTTCGTAAAGTTGATAAAAGGAATAGAATTGAAAGGTCTTTACGTTCAAAATAATATTTTAAGATAATTAAAATTGTTATTTATAAATTTTCAGAGGCAACTCGAGTGATGACTACGTCAGTGGCAGTATGAGCGAAATGAAAACTTCTACAAACTGGTACAATTTCATGCCAAGCAATCCTTACATTAATAGCAGACAACATTCAAAGGAAAACCTTAAAGCTGCTAACAGGTAATTAAATTGAAGGTTTAAGTTCCCATTCACGAAAGTTGTTTAAAAACAATTCAAAAATGAAAACTTGCTTTTATCTTTACTTTTAACGGTTTCAAGCATGCATGGTCTCATATAGTAATAACAATCTGTAAATACATCTTATCTCCTGTTTTATGAATTAATTAACATTAAAACCATCCGTTACTTTGAACATCCACAGGCCCCTCTCCAATGAATATTTCCGAAATGTTGCAGCTTTCAACTATTTGCAACCAAATGCATTGAACGAAAATAAAGTTTCATCGTTGAGTGGTGACTCAAGGCATCTCACAAAACTCTATCAAGAACAGTTATATAAACAACAACAATATCTCGCGAGTAAAAAAGAAACCGAAAAGAAAAACAAGAAGAATAAGAAAAATAAGAGTAAGAGTAATGTTCAAGACGATCGAATACTTCACAATTCAAATAAAGAACAGCCGGCTAAAAGATATAACATTCCTTCAAATCATGAATATCAAAATATTGTGGAAGACGGTGGGGGAGTCATAAAATTCCGAGAAAAGAAGAAGACGAATGATTACAATGGAAAGAATTATACAAAGAAGTCTTGTTGTGCGATCCAAGATGGAATTTATGTATTTAACAATGTAAACAGTAATGCCAGCAGCTTAACATCGTTTGCTGAACTAGAACAGAAGAAGAATAGCCCCGATATAGATGTTCACACTAATAATAAGTTGAAACATTTTAATCTTTCGAGTTATTTGAATATGGATTTGAAATCTTCTTCATCTCATGACAATGAGTCACAGAGAAGTTCCGATGACAAGTCGAGTATCGACAAACAAACTCGAAGAAGCAGCAGCAAGTCTTCTTCTTTATCCAACAAATCGAATGATTCAGTCGAGAAAGCGATCATATTGAATGGACTTAGAAATTCGGAAGAAAAGACAAATTCGTATCTGGGACCTTTCAACTTTCGCAAGTTGCTGAAACCAACTGGAGTTGCACCTACGGAAAGCTTAAGAAAAAGAAAAATGATTCTTCTAAACACGTCTCCCCCACCTGATAAAAATTTAAAAACTAATTGTCATTAATCTTTAACATAAACTTTAATTAAATAAACTTGTATTATTGGTAAAATAATTTTTTTATTGACTTTATGAATTTTTTTTTCTTTTTTTCTGATTTGCTACATAAAATATTTTTAAACATTTTAATTTATGTCGGATAACTTGACATTATAATTTCCAGGTAGAATTTTTTTATGGAATAATTTTCATTTAATAACTTCACAACGAGAAACGCTTTTAAAAAAGTTCGAAGGAGTTTTCATTTCGTCTTTTAATCTTCTTTAAACATTAATTTGATGATATTTTTCTCCAGTGTCGTACTTACTTTAATTAACAATATTTTGGATCATGAAACAATCAAATTTAATGTTTGATGCAAGTACATATTAGAATTTGATCAATTATTTGAGGGCCGTCTCAGGTACGACATAACATTTCTCTTAACTTTTCTATCTTCTTTTATAAATGTTAGGCTCGTTTCACGTGCGTATTGATAGGAAAAATAAATGCAGAAGCATAATCGTCTGCATGAATGTATTTATTTATGCTTATTCAATCGTTATTGACATTAAAAACTAACTTTTTTCTGCTAAACACACTTCTTTATCGTCATCAAGGAATTTTAAAATTTCCTTTTAAGAAAACATTTTGAACATGAGACAATTAACATAATTTAACCCTTAAACCTTTTTCTTCTTTCAGGACGTTTTACGCGGTTGTCAAGAACCTTACATAAGTATTTAAATATTATTGTTATTAATAATTAAAAGAAAAGGTTTTCTTCTTTCTAAAGTATGCTCGATTGACTTGTTCTAAGTTAATTAAATAGTAGAATTGACAGAAATTAATATTTAACAAAAGTTGATGGAGTAATCCACTAGTTGGATTACATAATTATTATTAAATTGATAAGATTACGGAAAAGGAATCTATAAAGTGATGTCTACTAAATTTTGAAAAGATTCAAACCAAAAAAGATTGGAAAGACTTCTTCTGTTCGTGTTATGTGATTAAAACTTGGTTAGAAAGTTCACAGAACTTTCTCCCTGATCGGCACCTTTTGCCTTTTTTCGTTTGTTAAGCAAAGCATTGCTGGAATTGTCCAAATTTTTCAAATGAAGTCCCGGATCTACTCGCATTGAAGCTAGTGAACTGGAAATAAAATAAATAACTTTTCATACACTCATTCAATTGATTTTATTTCCTTTTCATACCGATTCATCTCTTCCTGAACTTCAGGCCATTGTTGTTCTTCTTCTTTTAAAATTCGATTTGTATGCAATGGCGTTTGTGGAACATTTGTATATTGAGCGATCCAATTATTTTTTATTACCTCGTCTATTGTTAGTCTTTTGTTAGGATCAACACTTAACATTCCTTTTATTAAGTCCTTTGCTTCAGTTGTCACATTGCTCCATTCAGGTGCTGGAAAATCATATTGACCCGTTCTGATTCTAAATGACATAAGAAGAGAAAAGAAATTTATTGTTATAGTCTTCAAGCATCATTAAAGCAGGGCTAGGATTCTAATGATAGTTTACCTTGCTTTCATACCCGGCGATATAGCCAAACCATGATTACTGTAAAATGGAGGAAACCCACAAAGTAAAATGTACATAATTACACCAAGAGACCAAATATCGCACGACTTGTCATATTTCTCAGGGCCTAAGACCTCAGGCGCAGCATAGTAGGGCGTGTAGCATGGCGTTTGAAGTGTGTCTTTAACATAAGTCTCCTTAGCAAAACCAAAATCTGTCAGTTTGATGATTGCATCATAATGAGGTGATGTGTACAAAAGATTTTCTGGCTTTAAGTCACGATGGGCAATATTTCTATAATAAAGAAAGAAGAGACGAGATCACATGAAGGTTAAGCTATAAAATCACATAATGAGAAATGTAAACAAACCTATCGTGTAAATATTTTAGAGCTACACATATTTCGTGCATGATTTGAGCTGCTTCGCGTTCAGTGAATGGACCATCTTGTCGATCTTGTATTCGTTGAAATAATTCACCTCCTTCCATGCTATAGAAGCAATTCATAAAGCAACATGTTAAATAGGAAAGAATTAATAATTTGTACGAAGTTCACTTACCATTCCATCACAACAAGCAGACATTTAGTTCCTGAGTATGTGCTGCAAATTAAAAAATAATTAATTTTTCAGAATGTTGTTAATAACTTTCTAATATCGATATAAGAAATTACTTCTCAAAAACGTCAACAATTTTCACAATGTTTCGACATCCGCTAGCTTTAAGATGAAGTTCCAGTTCTCTTCTTGCTTTGCTATTATCATGAAGAACCTAAAAATAAGATGGAGCAATGATTGATAATGTTGATTATGTATTCATCATGATAAGTGACACTGTCGCATAAGATAATTTCCAGATGATTGATCCGAAACCATACGCCTACAATCACCACTTACTTTTAATGCAAATTTTGTTCCACTGGATTTTTTGATGCATTCGACAACTTTTCCATTGATACCTAAGCCCAAAACATTATTTGATATTTCATACTCCTCCGTAATTGGATTTTTTTTAGGCTCCAGTGGTGGACCTTGAGCAATACTTTGAGGATAACTTTGATTACTTTTGAACATCTTCTTAATTTTTTTTTAACTTAGATGATTCACTCCAACTTTGTTACAGATTTTGATTCTTCAAATATTTTCACTTTAATTTACAATAATCAAGATCACTGTTGAGAAATGAATAAATGCAGTGAGGATTAAGGGCAGATAGTAGAGAAGGATACAATAATACAATAAATCTCATAAGAATTTTATCTCTTATGAGCACTGAACAAGAATTCAGATAATATGAATTCGGATAACTAAAAGAGGGTGACCAGTTAGATAATAATGTTGTATTGTTTCAACAATCCATTTAAATATTCTAAACTTGTACATCTGCCTGCATTTAAAGCATTCGTAAACATTTTATTATATAACACAAACTCACAAGTGATATAAATAAACACTTTCGTTCACTGGTCGCCATCAAACATTCTGCTGACAATGTGCTGAATACTTTGCTGAATATCATTCACCGTCTGAACTGTTGGTGACAGTACATTTGTTTTTAAAATAGTTAAGGCATAAAATTTACAAATTTATAGTATTCAATCGAAATTTCGTGCCAAATTCGAATTAAAATCGTCAGTGTGTCATTTATTTTATGAAGTCTAATTAAGAAGTTTAAGTTTTACCCAGAAAACAACTGAGTAGAAAAGAAAAAAAAAAGCGAAGTAAGTTTTAACAGACTTAAACATACACACATAGAAATATAAATAGTTTTATGCAATTTAGATACATTTTAAAATGATTAAACATCAAAAAACACAAATATTTTCTTGCCTGGATATTTTCAAGTAACAAAAATTTCTTGTTTCAAATATCTAATATTGTACCAAGTTCAAGATCATTTATTGATTTTCCGGCTATTCAGGGTGTGTATGCAATAAAGTAATGAGCTGGCGTCGAAATATAATTGTTTGTAAGATTTGAATGTAAGAAAAGAAAGAAATTAAATTTGTGCTGTTCTTTTTCTGTACATGTACCAATGAAATGAAATTAAAAAGTGGACATTTTCTTATTCACCATCCACATAACGTTCCTATGCATTTACTGCTACCTTGTTAAGAAGAGGCATCTGTCTTCTCTATTATTAAAACGATGTATAAGTATCATTTCATACTCAACGACACAAGTAAAACAATAACTTGTTCTTTATAAAGATCAAGAATTTCCATAGATTTATTCATTTATATTTACTGTTAAATCACTATTTTCAAGTAGACCATGAAAGTGAAAGTCGTTGTCTGCATTTTATTGATTTTTTTTCTTATGTTACTCATGGATCCGCATTGAAATATTACCGAAACGAGAATCATTAATTTTTGAAGCATTGCAGGGGATAATATTGGATTTTACTAAAATGGTATAGAGCAATAATTAATTGTTCAATTTAGTTAAACATAATATTGTTTCGTTAAACTAATAGAGTTATCTCATTTCAAAGTAATTTAAACTCCCAATTGATTCACTTTATTGTCTTTCTGACTGTTTAAAACCAAAAGAAAAATGAAACAGATAAGTAAATTTGTTTTAAGTAAACTGCTTATTTAAGCAAATTCCCATGAGAAACAAAAATTTTGCGCAACTTGTCGTTTTTTCAACTCGATGTTAATTTGTTTTCAAAAGAAAACGGCTAAATGAAATATAGAACACTTGTTCTGAGAGATAAAATGAAGAGTAGAAGCGCAGTGGCTGTTGAATTCTTGTAAAGCTATTCGAGATTGAAGATGAGATTGTTTAAATCAAATAAGAAAAAGTCTTAGCATGTTGAAGCGGCGAAAACTTAAACCAGATTTTCATTGAAAATTCTTTCAACTGTTCTCCGTTCAGGCGTGAAAATATTGAGGAAAACTTATTTTTAGACTTCGACCAGCCGGAGATAAATAGTTAAGGCCCACGCAAAGCAAACATTTTCCCGAACATACAAGATCATTACAAAACACACTTTTTTATATAGTCGTGTTATGTTGGTACCCTAACAATTAGTTAAAGCCACCAACATTTGACCCCATAATATTTTATGCGGGCACACAAGTACAAATTACAGATAAACTAATAAAAAAAGTGAATCTTCTATTGTCAGTCATCTAAACATTTATTTATGTTAGAGAAATGTAAAGGAAATAAAAAAAAATTAATCATTTGATATTTAATTAAATTTTCCAAGAAATTTTCTTTTTCATTAAGATCCAATAAATATTTTTCTTCTATAAAGCATAAAAAGTGCTCTGAAAAATAATTCGAGAAACTCTTTTCTTTAAAATGAGTTTGCTCGATTTTCCTCTGCTCTTCTAGTTGAACATTGAAAAAACTGAGTAATGAAATGAATGACCGTATGCTTTTCTATTTGAAATGTAATGTTTGTCGCAGAATCATGCCAAGTTCGAATCCAAAAAAGAAAGCCCTCGGCCGCCAATTTCGATAGAATAAAGCCCACGCAATTCTTATTTAAGATTAACTATGTATCGTGAGTCTATTTATATTTACACGTGTTATACAATCGTGAGTTAAATCTCCATACAGAAAAAAAAATTAAATGAAAATACAATTGCAACTAGATTAAAGCTTTAAGTAAAGCAACACCACACTAATGAGACGACTGAAGGAAAATCGAGAGAGAAGTGCTAAAAATAGCTCATGTATTCTCTTTTCAAAGCATTAAAGCTGTACAAGAAGTATCTTCGTTATTTTTAGTTTAGTTTTGAGTTGGATACCAACGCGAGCGGAACTTGAAACACGTAATATTTATTGACTGAAATGATTTTTATTGGAAAAGAAGAAAAAAAATCAAGATTAGGAAAAGAAAATAAATTTTTATGAGCTTCTCCTTAACTTGGGATTCGTACTACTTGTTGCATATTTTAGGAAAATAAATGAAAAATCATTTAAAGTGAATAAGGGAAAACGAATTGAAAAGAAAAAAAAAAGAAAATGTAAAAGAAGAAGAAAAATTATTTTAATGTTGTCAAGGATAATGACAAATTCTTGAAATTTTCATTGAAATTTAATATCAGATTTGATAATTGAAAAAGAATTAAAGCGAAACGAGTAAAAGAAAAGTTAAAATTACCAAGAGAAAGAAAAAAAAAGGCTGATGAGTATTTTATTTTTAAACATTTCAGTTCGTTTCACATTTGAAAAAAAAAGGAAAATCTAAATCTCGAGCAAAATTACATAACGTGAATTAGGCAAAAAAAATTAAATAGAAAAACGCATTCTTATCCTCTTACTTAAAATAAAAGAAGGAAGAAAAATCGTAATGATAAAAAATTTGTGCAATTTTCTTCTAAAGGCAAAATGATGGATCAAAACGGTATGTACGCCGAGGAGTATGGCGAGAATGGTTACATGGAACAGGAAGAAGAGTGGGAACGTGAAGGATTATTAGATCCAGCATGGGAAAAGCAACAAAAGAAGGTGAGCGAAAGTGTTATTTATTATTATGTTTTTGAAAACTTATGTAAAGCGTCATTCATCGTCTGATCTACTTATTCATTGTAATTAATGAGATCTCAAAGATCAAGCATTTGAGGTTTATTCGAAAATGGAATGCTATGTGTTAATTTAATCTAAAACCATCACACAATGATCAAGAGATGGGAAAGTCTCTCTGTGAAATATTTATTAGCAAACATTTGATTATGTACACTTCACTTAAACCATAAAACAATTGATTATCTTCATACTTTTTTTTTCTTAAATTAAATTCATGCTCTGAGGACTGTTAGATAAAAAAAAATTATGAGAAGCTGGTGGTGTAATAGCGATATTTTAAAAGAAAAAAAAAGACTAAATATAACACAGTGTGCGTTCGTGATAAATTCTTAAAAATTTCCGACGAGAAAATTCGGAAAATTCAACTGCGATTTATACATTTAAAACATCAGCGAAAATTTGTATATGTGCGTCTGTATACATTGCCTGAAAATTGTGGTTTAAAAATAGCTTCATAGAGCTATGACTTCAACTTTGCTTGAGGCAGGAACAGTGGAAAAATATCTCGCGATTTTTTTCTTCTTGAAAGTATCTTTTGGAATTCGTCTTGATGTCATATCTTGGGCAGTGAATGACGTGAGATGATTATAGGGTCATTCAAATGTCTTTAAAAGTGGAAAATGAGAAACACGCTCAAGAACCAATAATTTCCCCTATGGATTTATTAAAATAGGTTTGAATGTCAAATGTACGCACTTTCATTTGAAATTAATACTTTTAAACCACGATCTCTTTAATATATAACTTTCAAATCTGTTTGAAATCTCTTTAGATATAAATTCAAACACTTTACAAGTAAAGCAGCTTAATTTGAATATTTCAAGAAGATTAAGGAAAATTCTCTTCAAAATCAATCATTAAATAGTCTCTTTTTTTAATTTTATCTTGACCCTGATTCTGAAAATATTTGTTGTTAAACTTGTTCAAATTTCATATTGTTGAACGCCAAACTAAATTTAACAATTCAATCTTTCTTCTTCTTTTTTTATTTTGGATACATGCATTGTTAAAAATGCTTAAATTAATTTCAAACAGATTTGATTTGCACATATTACCAGGCATATGGCAAATTGATTTAACTAAAGATTCCAGACAAATAATAAATTAGCATTGAATATCTATTCAGTGTCATTGGGGTTTCAATTCTTATTACATTTAACTTGTTATTCTCTGAAATTGTCAATGGTTCAATTCTTTTTTTCATAACATTACAATTATCCCATTGTTTAATTGGTTTGAATAGTTGTGAATTTCGAGTCTATTCCAATTTCCAGTTAGGTTTATTTCTTTATTTTTCCCAATTTAATCAACAAAGTATGCTAACTAAATGAATGTTATTATGTCAGATTTTTCGACTTGCTTTGTTGTTCACATCTTTGAAAAGTAATTTTGTTGTAAAAACACCTGTTACGATGAATGTGATGAGTAGAAAGTAAATAAAAATAAATCAGAAATTCTTTCTGTAAATAATTGTGTTCAACTTGAACTGTTTAAGACAAGACAGTTTTCAAGTGTCCCAAGTTATTATTGCACGTAATATTACTAGAGCGTGTGGTCAATGTTGAGTCACATCTACACATGCCAGAAACTGATCTTGAGTTCCGAGAAATGTCTACATGAAAAAGGTTTCCAATCCATCAAAGCCATTCATTAATTTCTATCTCAAGTGTTGAAATTAAAGTAATCAATTTAATTATTTTATCATCGTTCTCTATAAGGAAATTTCTTTTAATTCATTTTGATTTAATGAAAAACAAAAATTCAGTGCATTAAGTTTAATTTTTGCTTACACTTACTGAAATTATTCATAAATCATTATTTCTTAATCTCCATAGCATTCAATCTTTTTTTATATTATTATGAAGAATGAAGACACATCACAAGTGCAAGAAAAGAAAAATTGCGCCTTTGCCAAGGTCGTTGAACCAAGGTCATTGAACGAAAATTATTCAAAAATATGTATGTCATAAATTTATTACATTTACAAAAAGATTTTGAGATTCTTCTATGCGATAATTCCTTTGATCAAATCTTTCATTCATTTTTCGAATAAAAAGCAGTTTCAAATTCCAATCAAGAACAAAACAAACTTCTACAGATCGTTGTTAGCCGAAAAAAATCTTTTTATTTTATGATTGAATCAGATCGCGAAGCAAACGATTGATTTGAATAAGTAACATGCAATTTCTTTCCATTCTTAACTTGATATCGTTTCAATTTGTCTCAATAAATAAAGACCGTTGCGAAACCGGTTTAACAGTTGATCGTTTAAAAGAATGGAAGCATACAAGAAGCGAATATATTCACTCTACATAATCATACTTACCCACCAGTTCTTATTACATTCTTTTATGATGCTGACTTCAAAAGCTCCCATTAATATGAAGCAAGGATTGTTGTTAATCTGTTTTTTTCTTTCTTATTCTTTATTTAATTTTGGCAAGTAGATTGAACGGGACCGTCACCTGTGACGTTAACATGATTTTCTCTTAGTCTTTTTAAGATCTGGAAAACGTATTTCTGAGTGAAATTATCTCTACATCCAATCCAATGCTCGTTGAGTCAGTGTTGAAGTGATGAAAACTTTTTCTAACCTCGTACGAGGACTAAAATACTAAAATAATATTTTCCTCTGACAAAAACAATATCGTAACTTATTTTTAGCAAGAGCGGGCAATGTTTTGAAGAAAGAGAAGAAAAAATATTCAATGACGTTGAGTCATAAGGTTCCTTCACGTTTTAGAGGTTTCGAGCATACATCTATGTAGATATACTCAACCGAGAAGGGGAAGTAGTGGGTGTTGTTTATTTAATTGGTCATTACGGCATACCTAGAAAAAAAAATTTCATTTGTAAAGTGCTTGTGGCGTTTAAATATATTTAAATAAAATATGAATTTTCTCAGGGACCAAATTTCACTTTCAACATTTTCAAAGTTTCTCTTTCTTAATAGCTACGTGAGGATCAAATGACTATAGTTCAGTCTATTCAATGAACATTTCTCAAATTTCTATCTCCATAACATTGAAGCAATAATATTATTGAAGTAAACAAAAAGTTGATCAGTTGCCGAGAAAATCAATTAAAATGTATTTCATTTCATTTTTCGCAAGATCAAATCTTAAATGCAAATTTATGATGCTTGAAAATACTTCAACTGTCAAAATACAAAGTTATCAACTCCCTCAATCTTTTCACTCTGATTACAATTTAATTTTGTCACTAATTGTGAAAAACAAAATTTTTGTTTTCCTTTTAAGGATTTTATTTACTCAAATTGAATTCTTAATCAACCTTCTAAATTATTCTAGACCTTCACTGCTTGGTGCAACAGTCATTTAAGAAAAGCTGGAACAGGCATTGAAAGCATTGAAGATGACTTCCGTAATGGTCTCAAACTTATGCTTTTACTCGAAGTCATATCTGGTGAAACGCTGCCAAAGCCAGATCGCGGTAAAATGCGTTTCCACAAGGTAAGTTAACGATGACATAAAACTTCAACGTTACACGTATAATTATGATATTTAATATCTGTTGTATCTTAAAGATCGCAAACGTCAACAAAGCTTTGGATTTCATTGCATCAAAAGGTGTTAAACTTGTTTCAATCGGAGCTGAAGAAATCGTTGATGGAAATCTGAAGATGACTCTTGGAATGATTTGGACCATCATTTTAAGATTTGCCATTCAAGATATCTCTGTTGAGGAAATGACAGCCAAAGAGGGACTTTTGTTGTGGTGTCAACGTAAAACTGCTCCATATAAGAATGTCAATGTGCAAAACTTCCACCTCAGTTTCAAGGTAAACGATTTTTTTTGTCTTTCGCGAATGTTTAAAAATATTTCATTCTTCTTCTTGTTCTTCTAGGACGGTTTAGCTTTTGCTGCTTTGATCCATAGGTAAATGCTTAGCATTGTTTTACACGTCTCAAAATATCTTTTTTCATCTCTGTTTTTGTTTTTCTTCTCTTCATTAGACATCGACCAGATTTGATCGATTATTCAAAACTTTCAAAGGACAATCCTTTGGAAAATTTGAATACTGCATTCGATGTTGCTGAGAAATATTTGGACATCCCTCGCATGTTGGATCCAGATGGTAAGCTTTACGATCACAAATATTCAATCATTGTCTAAAGTTATGAATTCTTTTTAAATAATTTCCTTTCGATCATAAAAAATTGTCAAAATATTTAATGGGATGTCTGATAAATAAAAAATCAACAAATAGATTTGATCAATACTCCAAAACCGGATGAAAGAGCGATTATGACTTATGTGTCATGCTACTACCATGCTTTCCAAGGCGCTCAACAGGTTCGCAATAAAATCTTGCTCTTATGTTGTTGATGTCCTGCCAAAAAGATTAAGAAATGCCTTTTAACAGATTTATTTGACATTTTATTGAACTTCAAGTGCAGTTCAATGTTTGATAATAAAACCTTTGTTTGAATGATTTTCCCCAATTTCGCTTTAAATAAATAAACAAAAAATGAATCAAAACTTTCATTGTCCATAAATCCGTAGCATGATCGATCAATATTTAACTCAAGCTTTTGTTTAATCATAAAAATGATGCAGTCCCAGGAAAATTGAAGTTGTTTTATCAACAAAACCCATCAAATTTACCATTATGATGAAAATCCCTCGATTATTTATTTTAATTAACAACCAACAAAGCTAAACGCTTAAGAGAAGAAAGAAAATTGTGTGAGAAATGTTTGAAGTTTAACAAGCTTTTTTCTGTTGTTTCTTATTCCTAACATTAAACAGATTTACAGAATACAGCTATGCCTGATGAACGTGCTGTAATGACGTATGTGTCATCTTATTACCACTGTTTTAGTGGAGCACAAAAGGTTTGTTGCTTATTTGCTTTCATTGTTGATGTTTTTTTTTCTTAACCCTCGCTTAAGTTTATTGAACGCGCACTCTTCATCATTTAAATTTTTCTTTAATTTCCCTCAGGCTGAAACAGCTGCTAATCGTATCTGTAAGGTACTTAAGGTCAATCAAGAAAATGAGAGACTAATGGAAGAGTATGAGCGTCTTGCAAGTGATGTAAGTAGCTTAGAACAATTGAATAATTTATCAATTAACAATCAAATCATTAACAGTTGCTTGAATGGATTCGTCGCACTATGCCATGGTTGGCATCACGTCATTCTGACAGTACTTTGGCTGGTGTGCAAAAGAAACTTGAAGAATATCGTACATATCGTCGTAAACACAAACCTCCACGTGTTGAACAAAAAGCAAAACTCGAAACAAACTTCAACACTTTGCAAACGAAGCTTCGTTTATCAAATCGTCCCGCTTACATGCCAACAGAAGGTAAAATGGTGTCGGACATTGCCAATGCATGGAAAAGCTTGGAATTAGCTGAAAAAGCTTTTGAAGAGTGGCTTTTGGCTGAGACAATGCGTCTCGAACGACTTGAGCATTTGGCTCAGAAGTTCAAGCACAAGGCTGACACGCATGAAGAATGGACACGCGGTAAAGAAGAAATGCTTCAATCACAAGATTTCCGCAGTTGTCGTTTGTATGAATTGAAGGCTCTCAAGAAGAAGCACGAAGCTTTCGAATCCGATTTAGCTGCACATCAAGATCGTGTTGAACAGATTGCAGCAATTGCTCAAGAACTTAACACACTTGAATATCATGATTGTGTTTCAGTTAATGCCCGTTGTCAACGAATCTGTGACCAGTGGGATCGTCTTGGTGCATTGACACAACGTCGTCGTCAAGCTTTAGACGATTCTGAACGAGTCTTGGAGAAAATCGATTTACTTCATCTTGAATTCGCTAAACGTGCAGCTCCATTCAATAACTGGTTGGATGGTGCACGCGAAGATTTAGTTGACATGTTTATTGTACACACAATGGAAGAGATTCAAGGTCTCATTACTGCCCATGATCAATTCAAGGCAACATTGGGTGAAGCAGATAAGGAATATAATTTGATTGTTGGGTTGGTTCGTGACGTTGAAGGTTTGGTCAATCAATATCAAATCGCAAATGGATTGGACAATCCATACACAACACTTACAGCTCGCGACTTAACATCGAAATGGTCTGATGTTAAGACTTTGGTACCAGCTCGTGACCAAACACTTGCCATGGAATTGAGAAAACAACAAAATAATGAAATGTTACGTCGCCAATTTGCTGAGAAAGCAAATAATGTTGGACCATGGATTGAGAAGCAAATGGATGCTGTTACTGCTATTGGAATGGCAATAAGTGGATCATTGGAAGAACAATTGCATCGTTTGAAGGAATACGAGCAAGCTGTTTATGCTTACAAACCGCATATTGAAGAGCTTGAAAAGATTCATCAAGCAGTTCAAGAATCAATGATCTTTGAGAATCGTTACACCAACTACACAATGGAGACACTCCGTGTTGGATGGGAACAGTTATTGACATCTATCAACAGAAATATCAATGAGGTAAAGTGAAATACTTTTGAAGATGAAGACATGATCTTTAATTAAAAAATTTTCTTTATTTTATTGACAGGTGGAAAATCAAATACTTACACGTGACTCAAAGGGAATAACACAAGAACAGTTGACAGAATTCCGTTCAAGTTTCAATCATTTTGACAAAAATCGCACTGGACGTTTGGCACCTGAAGAATTTAAGTCATGTTTGGTATCAATTGGATATTCAATCGGAAAGGATAGACAAGGTGAACTTGATTTCCAACGCATTTTGGCTGTTGTTGATCCAAATAGCACTGGTTTCGTTCACTTTGATGCCTTCCTTGATTTTATGACACGCGAAAACACCGACACAGATACTGCAGAGCAGGTCATTGATTCATTCAGAATTTTGGCCTCCGATAAGGTGAGAAATTGTATTTCTATTAAATTTGAAATTTAAAATTTATTTCCTGCGCTTTATGCGCGGATTAAGATAATCTAATAAGATTAAAATCAAGATTAAGATTAAAACTTCGCCTTTCTTTTGCAGCCATATATTCTTCCTGATGAGTTACGTCGGGAATTGCCACCAGACCAGGCCGAATACTGTATCCAAAGAATGCCACCTTATAAGGGACCAGGAGCCGGTCCAGGCGCTCTTGATTACATGTCTTTCAGTACAGCACTTTATGGTGAATCTGATTTGTAAACTCACATACCAACTTTTTAATCTCTTATTTAAAACAAACACAATAAGCAAAGAAGAAGAAAAGTTGGACATGAACATACGCCACTATACAGCAAATCAGTTTATTAATTGCAAAAAAAAAGTTATTTTTATATATGATACGAAAGAAAACCGAGCATGAAAAAATTTATAAACTTCATTTAACTACAAAGAAAATTATCAAGCAATACTTGAAAAAGAAATGCTAAAGGACTTTAATCCTTTTTCCCCACTATATGACTACCAGAATATATCCAATTTAGTGTAGTGTTTTTTTTCTTTCTCATTTGCTTTAATCGCTTTTTCTTGATTCTTCTTCCATATAATTCAAAGTGAAAAATCTTAATAAAGGTGAACATAAGAAAAATTTTATTTCCTTCATCACGGCAGCTTTCTTTTCATCAATTCTTCTGTTTTAATTGGAAGAAGATCATCTCGTCGTGTTTTTTGTTAGATTTATAAATGCTTTTCATAATTATTTTATTTTGTGTTAAACAGAAAAAAATTATTTTTTTTCTTTGCGTAACAATGAATCAATCGGTCGTAATATGAGAAAAAAGTTCGCGTTTCAGACATTATCGAACCCAACATGATGATAATCTGCTGGTGTTTTATGGACAGTTAATCCTCAAAATATTATCAGTCTTATTTTCGAAATATCTTCTTTTTTTAATTCACAGTTTGCCAACATATTCGAAAAAAAATGAACAGATATTTCAAATCATTTGAAATTTATATTTGTAAGCAAATACAAACGATGAATAAAATATTTTTAAAGTGAAAAATGTCAAGTTTTATGTTTATTTCTCTTTGATTATTTTACGACAAAACTGCTTTTTAAATTTGTCATAAAATTTTATTAAAATTAAAACGGAATATTTTTATCAGTCAAGTTGAAAAACAAAATTAACGACAATTTATTTAAAATTTGAAAATTTGAATTTCTACATTCTAGTACCTCAATTGCTCGAAAATCAGAGATAAGCAAGCAACAAGTTTTAGGGAATTTAAAGTTGAGGCCTTTCATGCTTAAAATGTCATGTTTGATTTAATAAAATAGCAGTACTTTCAGCATTATATTTCTCATTGATCATATTTAGTTCTCTCTGCGAGTTTGATTGTGTTTCACCTTGGAAATTGTAAGTTGCTTGGAAACATTCTTACAAGTAGCTCAGAAAATTGCCCATCTCTGGATGTAGCAACAAACAAATGTAAAATTCAGAACCCTTACATCGCGTACAATCCCACTAGAATTATGAATGAATTGTAAAAAGTTGTTGCTGTTTTAATTATTAGGAAGAAAGCTCTGAAGTGTGACTCATTCTTTGATAAAATTGTATGAAAAAAAAGTTTATCGCTTTTGTAGATTAGATAGAGGTTCGTTTGACAAATTTTTATTTCTCTTTAAGCAATTTATCAAATGCTAACTTCAGTTGATTGAATAAAGTTAATTGTTGAAGGTGTCTCAAGGTGCTAAATTTGTTCTTTTTATTATCAAAGTGACAAATTTTCCTTCAGGAAGACTAATGTAATTGAATTAATAAACAAAAAGTACATTTGAGAAAATATTTTATATATGTACAAGTCACGGACTGAATATCAATCGACAATAAAACTTTTATTAAATATTTTCATGATTCAGACAAAGACATGAAATTATTTTGAAAGAAATCGCAGAATTTTTGTTTATTATCTTATCGTGTCTTGTTGCGATCGATAAAAATATCATCAACATTGAAACTCCTCTTCATTATTTTTAATTTCTTTTAGTGAATCAGATCAAAAATGACGTTGAACAATACATTAACAGATAAGGAATATTATCAGCTCACGATAAGTATCGGCAAAGCCTTCAATTCTTACGAAGCTCCTGTAAAATCAAAACATGTAAGAGCTGCAATTATAGGGACGTATCACTCGAACGGCGGTCATGCTTTCTGGGCAATTGCCATCCGACAGCCTTTACAAGAAAATCGCATTACAGCATGGAAGTTCTGTCACGTCCTTCACAAAATCCTCCGAGAAGGTCATCCATTAGTGTTACAACATTCAATGAGACATCGTACGATGATTACTGAAATCGGGAAACTTTGGGGTCATTTGAATGATGGCTATGGGCTTTGCATCAAACATTACACAAAACTCCTCGTTACCAAGATCGAATTTCATGATAGAAATCCGAGATTTCCTGGAAGTCTTGTTCTTAAACGTGGCGAATTGGAGCAAATCGCTGGAAACGATATCAATGTTTACTTCCAATTAGCAGTTGAAATGTTTGATTATTTAGATGAAATTGTGGCGCTTCAAGCAACAAGTAACTTAAATTCTTTTTCATTTTAATTTAATTTCTTATGAGATTAATTTTTCAGTTTTCAATTCAATTACAACATTTACGGTGTCGTCTCTTTCACTTCCTGGTCAATGTCGTTTAGCGCCATTAATTCCATGCATTCAAGATTCAAATCAATTGTATGATTTCGTAGTTCGATTGATGTTCTTATTACATGCAAATCTACCTGACGATTTGTTGAACGGGCATCGTGAACGATTCCGAACACTCTTTAGACAGTTGCATAACTTTTACAAGCAAGCTGGTACACTGCAGTATTTCGTCAACCTCATCAAAGTCCCCTCATTGCCTTCAAATCCTCCAAACTTCTTGGTTCAAAGTGATTTAGGAAACTACACAGCGCCTGTTGTTGTCGTTCCTCAAGAATCGAATGATAGTGATACAAATTCTGTGGTTGATAATTTAGTCGACACATCTCCGGAGTTACCTGAAAGAACCAAAACACCTCCACCACTTCCTCATGTTGATTTTGATCGTTTATTGAAAGAACGTGATGAGCTCATCCGACATATGCAACAAGAAATTAGCAAACAAAATGAAATTGTGAAGAGTAAAGAAATCGAAAAGCGAGAATATGAAAATCGTGTTCAAGATCATATCACGAAAATCAACAACGATTTGCTTGAGGCGCAACAAGAGCTGACAAATACAAGACTTCAAAAAGAAGAAATTGAATTGAAATTACAAACAGCGCCAGACTTGGAAGGTAAAAAATTAATGTAAAGAAAGTTTCATTTTTAATTCTATTTTAATTATTTTCAGAAAAAGTTCAAGCAGAAGAAGAACGAGCAAAAGCTACTGAAGATAAATTTCAAAAGCTTAAAAATATGTATACGCAAATCAGAGATGAACATATTAAACTTTTACGACAAGTAAGAAAGTTTATGAAACCTTTGAAGACTTTTTTCTAATAATTAATTTTATTATTTAACAGCATGGTGAAGTGAGCAAACAATCAGCGGAAAATACTCGTTTATTAACTGAAGCTTCGCAAGAGAAAGAAGAATTTAAAGCAAAATTGGAAGAAATTCAACGAGAACAAGAAATTACCAAAGAGTCATTACAGCAAAGTGCTAGTGAGACAGAACGACAGAAAGATGAGTTGAGTGAGAAAGTTAAAACGACGGAACGTGAAAATTTGACTTTATTGGAGAAGGTTCAAGATATTGAATCAAATAAATCTGCAGAAATTGCTGAACTGAAGATCGTCGTTGACAAACTTCAAAAGAGTTTAAACGAACAACGTGAAAGTTCAATGAAATTGGACGGAGAGAAGGAAAATCTCGAATCAAAATATCAGGAAATGTTAAGCAAAACAGCGGATGTTGAGTCATCTTATCAAGAAACTTTGGCTTCTCTTGAAAAGCTGAGAATTGTTGAAATTGAGAAACAACAATTGGATCAAGAGTTTGAACAACAGAAAGCGTCTAACGATGCACTTTCATCTCAGATCGAACAAAAAAATTCTGAATATGAATCACTTGAGATCAAATTGAATGAACATTTAGAAAATTCAGCCAAAGAAATTGAAAGTTTACAGCAACAGATTCAAGCAAACGACGAGAAGTTTCAGGTAAGAATTTTAATTTAATCATCGAAAGGGTGAAAAATTGTTGAGAATAATCAACCTTCGACACTTGATACTTAAGGTCGATTATTTCAAAACAATATTTTACTAGATTTCTTCATTACTCGTCATCAACATTTGCACTCATCGCGCTAATTCATGCATTGCACTCATTAAAATCATAGCATTTCACTTTTAAATTTCTCATCAATCAAACTGATGCTTAATGCTTTAAAGCTTATTGCAAAATGCTTAATTTCTAGCAAATGAGTGTAAATTATGACCGAGTATTGAATGCGAAAGAAAGTTTGGAGAATGAAATCCAAGATTTGTTACATCAACAGGAAACGTTGGACCAGAATCATAATGAAGCGCTTGAAAAGATTCAAAAGCTTGAGCTTGATTTGATAAATCAGAAGATTCAAGGCGAAGCTGCTTTGCGAGCTCTTCTTGAGACGTGCGTGAAAACATCAGCAAAAATCACACTTCGAGCAATTACTGAGAGTGAAACTCCTGGTGCTAGTGGAACGACGACATACTTTATTATGATTGCTGAAGAACTTCAAGACGTATTGGAGAAACTAAAACTTGTTCATGGAAATTACCTCGAAGACAATAATAAGAACGCTGAAGCTCTTGTTCGTAAGGTTCAAGCGACTGGTCATTTGATTTCGTCAGTTCACGAACAAGGAATGGCGATTTGTAACAAATCAACGAATATTGATTCAGGCGAGAGTAAGTAGAAAGTCAAAGACTTGCAACACAATAAAGAATTTTGATTTATTTAATTTTTTATTAAAAATCTTTCTTTTTACTTATTTTTGACTTTAAATTAATCGAATATTGAATTCAATCAAAGACGGTATGTTGATCTCAATTGTGTCAATCCTTTCGTAGATAAATTTTGAATATTCCCACACACAATCCTCAATTATTAAAGCTCAACTTAATTCATAAAACATTTTCATTCACAGAAATAGCAAACGAACTCAGAGAATTTGGAAAATCTGTGTCCAACTTCTTCGAATCACTACACACAACAAGCAAGTCTGATACAGTAAATCCTCAGATCAATGACATGAAGGAACAATTGTATAAAGTGACACAAATGATTGGCGATTTGTCCAACAACAATGATGAGATTGATCAACTTGGTGATTTAGTTGAGAAAGAATTGAGTAGCATGGACAAAGCGATTGAAGATGTAAGAAAGAGAAATTTTGAAATAGTTTCGTTAATTAAATTTTCTTCATTAATTTAGGCTGCTCAAAAAATTGTTGATATGCTCACACAAACAAAAACGTCTGATTCGGGGATCAAACTTGAAGTTAATGAGAAAATTCTCGACGCATGCACAAATTTGATGCGTGCAATTCAAATTCTGGTTCAGAAATCGAGAAAAGTTCAATCGGAAATTGTTGCTCAAGGAAAAGGTTCAGCGTCAGTTAAAGAATTTTATAAAAGAAATCATCAGTGGACTGAAGGACTCATTTCAGCAGCCAAATCTGTCGCAAATGGAGCGAAATTTTTAGTGTAAGATTTTACTAAAATTATAAAGAAAACTTTAATAATTTTTAATATTTTTTTCTTTAGAGATGCAGCTGACAAAGCAGTGACAGGAGAGTCTAAACATACACTTGACATTGTTGTAGCCGCTCAAGAGATTGCAGCATGTACAGCACAATTAGTTGTTGCAAGTCGTGTCAAAGCTCCACGTCAGAGTCAAAATCTTCAAGAATTGACTCAAGCATCGAGAAATGTAACGCAATCGACCGGAATTGTGGTTGCAACTGCCAAAGATTGCAGTCAACGATTAGACGAAGGACAAGATTTAGATTTCACCAAACTGTCCATACATCAAGCGAAAACAAAGGAAATGGAAGTTCAAGTGAAAGTTTTAGAATTGGAACAAGCATTAGAGATGGAAAGATTGAAACTTTCAGCTTTAAGACGACAAAACTATCAATCGATGGAGTGATTGAATATTTTATATGAACTTTTATTGTATGAGTATTGTATGAGTATTGTGCAAGGCAAGGACAAAGATTGAAGTGAAGCCTTTTTATTTCTATTTGACAAAAATAACGAAAGTTCCAAGTTTAAGTATTAGTTCCAAGTTATATTTTCTGGAAATTGAGAATCTTTAAGTTCGAAACGTTTCATTATTCAATCTATCCTCAGTTATCCATTAATCATAATTATGTAACATTTATATCAATCGAAATCATGTGTCTTTACATTTAACTTAAAAACGTTTAACATTTCAAATATTTAGAGAAGAAAGTTTTCTAAAATCGAACAAATTTTACTTTAAAGCTCTTTGAATTGTCATTTAGTTGAAAATAATATTACAAAAATTTATAAATGTTAAATTTATTAAACGTTTTTAAAGCTCACTTCAATGTCACCAAAAATTATTAAGTGATTGAACGACATTCGTAATTATATTTTATAAATATATTGAAATAAATTTTTATTATTCATGACAAAATTGAAGTTTGTTTCATTTTGAAAGATTTTGTATGTTGCAAATCTTTCATTTAAAAAGCTCAAAATAATTTCACATCTTGCATGTTTGAAATGACGAGAAATTTGTTGATGTGGATGCGGTCATGATCCATTTCAGGAAATTGCATCATTGCAAAACCGATCAGACGCTTTAAAAAGCAAATAATAATCTCGATAAGCTTAAAGTGTTTGTTAAAGATGAAATCAATTAATTTATTTAACAACATACACAAATGAGTGCTTATAAAAATTATGAAAAGCATCCTTCGAAAGAGTTCCGCATTATCATGACATCTGGCAAATAGTAAATACACAGAAATCCAAGAATTGTTGTGTTAATACTTTTAATTCAATTAAAATGTGCATTCAATATTTTATTATTTTAACATAAAATCCGCTAAACATTCCAAGCAATTGAGTTTGTTTGACACTCAAATCACGTCTTCTAATCGAATGCCAATTTTTACGGTAAATTTCATGTGATTCATTTTCAAAGACGACAAATTTCAGCTGACAAAATGCCATGAATTAGAACCTCAATCCGATATTCACTCATCATTGCAGATTATCTACTAATAAAATTTTAAGCCGATTTCGTAATACACCAAAAAAAGTCTTCCAAAACCTGAAATCATTCCACACATGAGTAGTAAATTGGCAAGAAAATTATAGAACTAATCAGTAGATGCGGTCTTGTTTGACTTCAAGAAAAGTTGAGTCAATCGAAAACAAAACAAAACAAAATACATCATTTGAGAATCGCTCGAGCGCTTTAAATAACAAATACGAATATGAACAATCTTTCAGTGTTCGCTGAAGCCTTTATCGTGATCAATTAACTTATTTAAATAGAGTTTCAATAGAGTTTTGTTCATTTTGGAAATTTTCCTTATTTTGGCTAATTAATTTTGGAGGTGAAATTACAAAAGTTATTATTAAGTTTATTATATTAATCCATTATCGTTTACCCATCATGAAAGCGTCAAAGTATTGGTTTTTCCAATTTCTCATTTTAATCAATTCACAGGTCAAAGCTAGGACAAAGTATCAATTTCAATGATTTTGTTTACGGATATTTTCGGAAATAAAATTCATCTTTTAATTCAATTGAATTTTATTGTCGGAAAAATAATGAAATTGAGATGATTTAAATGATTTTGAATTATGATGTCATGTTGGAATGAATGAAAATTTTCTTTGTATAAGAAAAACTTCTCGTTTTACATATCCAACAAAATGTGAAGAAGAAAATTTAATTTTCTGTTCGAAATATTTTTATTTATTTTCAAACAAATGTTTTTTACATACTTCTCTGTTAAGTTATTCTTTTGTTTTTACAATTCCGCATTCAAGTAGACTTCAACTTAGTCATAGAATTGTTTTTGCAACACGTGATTCGCTTGAAGAGACATGACTCATAATAATAAAAAAGTTTCGGTCATTTGTTAATCAAATAAGTTCAAAGGTAATAAATGATAATGTCAATATAATGTGAAAACATTTCAAATTATGAATTGAATTTTATATTACTGTAATCAAAGTCCACGTAGTGAAGCTCGCAACAATCCAATTCCGATAACCAACCGTTGCAACGACATGTCGAGCGTTCATTAAAACAATGAAATGCATGACCTTAGGCAACACAGGAAAATATAAATGTAAACTTTTTTAAAACGATTTAAAATTTTGTTACACGGACCACACTTTACTGTGTTAAATTTGATTACTGTTCCAGATTACAATTTGAGTTTTAGAGTTTGTAGAATTTTTTTTTTGGGAAGAAAATGAAATTAAAAAGAGTGGCATGAAATTTTTATTTACATTTTACAAATATTCGTTCAAGTTCGATGGATAAATGGCACACTCGACTTTGTATTAAAAAGGAATTCAATTTTCTCTTAGGTCAATATGACAGGCATCTCCTTCGCTTTTATTTTGCAAATCATATTTTGCTATTCGCTATGTCAGGGGAATAATTTCCATCAAAGCTTTCATCAGTCAAGTTCACATCCTGGTCATAACGGCGGTGTATCTTCCAACTTTATATCTTCTGGTGATAACAGCATTACGATCAATAGAAGAGTTGGACATGACAAGGAATACATTGACTACTTGAGAGTTTCTAATCCAAAAATTATAATTGATGGAGATTACTGTAAAAGAAGCTTTAAGCTTATTCGTTAAATTCAGAAAGCTTTTAAAAATTTCATTTCAGTCTCATGCAGTTCATTGGTTTGTCCTAAATCTGCCTTCAAATGTGAAGTAGTCAGCGAAGCAATTGCCGATGACATTGGAAATATGAAAACTACTGCTGAATGCTTCAACGCAAATGACGAATCTTTAGAAAGGAAAGAATTTACTGAAGTTAATCCTTATCCAGGCGTGAATCCTTTGTACAGTCGTTATGCAAGTAAGAAAGTTGATTTTATTTCTTTAAATTCAAATTTAAGAAAATGTGTTGCCTTCTCTAGTTGTTGATAAAGATGGAGCAATGAGCGTTAAAGATAGCAACGGCAATAACGTTCACAACACAGCAAAGCATCTTACCAAAGAAGAACAAGAGCAACTTAATAATGAAATCGAACAACAGCAAAAGCAATTTCAACAACAAATGAATGAATTTAACAAGAATATGCAACAAGCTTTTGGAAATGGATTTCCTTTTGGAAACTCGAATCCTTTCGGCAATGGATTTCCTTTTGGAAATTCGAATCCTTTCGGCAATGGATTTCCTTTTGGTAATACTAATCAATTTAATAATTTCCAACCTTATGCTTACCGTTATCCATATTTCCCTTTTAATTCCCCAAATTATTATTCTTATAACCATCAAAACTATGACACTGACCCCACTAATCAAAATTATTATCAAAACAGGAGACTGAATGCATGAAGATCCTTGCATGAAACCCTCAACTTTATATTAAACCACTTGAACTTTTTATTAATTATATGAATACACGAATAAAATTTATCAACTATAAGATGAGTTTTTTAAATAAAATTATTTGAATTGCAGAAACTTTAAATATGAAATCACTTGTAAGTTTTTAGTAATTTATGCCTAAAATAGAACGATCAATATTGGGTAAGTATGACGATGTGTTATCTTTACTTTATTGAATAAAGTTTATTCACTTTCAGTTCAAACATTTTTAAATTAATTTACGACTTACAGAAACTGTTTTAATTGAAGCTGTTTGTTGCTTAGTTGTAGCATTACAAGTGATAATTATTATCCAATTTCTTGTTCAACTTTTCCTTCCCAAAAGAATTATATCACGACATTTCAGTTAACGATTGTTCTACAGATTAATCCATTTGAATTATAATTTTCCATGCTATTTAAGCAGCATTTTCAATATTCTCAATATTCAAACTTATATTGTAATTTAGTTTGATTTTCTGAGATGTCACTTGCAAAAGTGATATTATTTTTTGTTTTGTTAATTTATTTAGAAAAATCTGCCACTGTAAGCTTAGAAGCTGAGGGCTCAGAACATTCTAAAATTGAAGCAAGTGGAAATTGTAACAAGGATGTGAAGCTAAAACAGAAACCTTTTCCATATTATGGATCAAACATAGAAACTGGAAGTGATGATCAATTAGTGGTTTTCTCACCCATTTTCCCTTTCTTCACTATTCCATGTCCAAAATGTAACATTAACGATTTAAATGAGTTAGAAAATATCAAAACTATCACAGAATCATTAAAGATACAAATTAAGCATATAACTAATAAAATAGAAAATCTTCTTGAGTTAATGGTGGAGTCTTCAGTTTGTGTGAATAAACCATTCGTGATATCAGCAACTAAAACACATGTCAAGCCCTCAACTAAATCACCAGCTAAACTCACAATAAAGACAACAACGGAATCAACAACAAAGACAACAACAGAATCAACGACAAAGGCAACAACGAAACCAACAACAGAGGCAACGACGAAACCGACAACAAAGGCAACAACGAAACCGACAACAAAGGCAACAACGAAACCGACAACAAAGGCAACAACTAAAGCGACGACACAGGCGACAACAAAACCAACGACAAAGGCAACAACGAAAGCGAAACCACCACCTCCACCACCTCCACCGCCTCGAGCACCANCCGCCTCCTCCACCACCGCCTCCTCCACCACCGCCTCCACCACCGCCTCCTCCACCACCGCCTCCACCACGACAAAATAATTTTAATTGTAGAGGTGTACCGTGCCCACCTGGCACAAAATCATGTATGTATATGGAGCAAGCAATTCGATTTAAGTGCGTACAAAATCTTAGGACTGTTACGTGTTATTCAGCGTCTCAAAATGTACTTCAGACAATTCAGACTAATATTCCGAATAAAGGGAAAGGCTGCGGTGTAAACATAATGCAAAAGATAACATCTTAGAAAATATTTATGAAAATGACAAAATGATGTAAATTTTAATTATTGTAAAAAAGCTGAAAAATTTTAAAATACCTTTCAAAAAGAACAAATAAAAAACTAGAGTGATTGTTAATGTGAAAAAAATTCTGAAATTGTTTTGAACAATAACTAAATAATAAAATGATTTAAATGTCAATACTGCAACATATTTGCTACTTGACGTTTAGTATTATAATGAAAACATTTCATCGCGAGGCATCTCGTCACAAAATATTCTTTCAAATGGAAAATCAGACTTTGGTCTTCAGCAAAGCTTTTGAATTTAATATTTCATTATTCAATGAGAAATTATTCAAAATAGTTGTACGATTTTTCACACAGAATAATTGAAGAAAAATTTAATTCTTCATGCTTAACAGCTTAAATATCTTCAACTCAAATCAACATCTCTAGTTAGTTTTACTTTAAAAATGCGATCATCAACATCAATTTTTTTTTTCGCCTTCTTGAGTTGTTTACAAAAACTTTCAAGCTTAGAGCCTGACAGTTCAGATTATTCAGCAACACAAACGAGACCATTCCTTGTGCCAGCTTTTGAATCCGGATACGTTGACCAAACATTTATGTTTTCACCCGCTTTCCCTTTCTTCACTCTTCGATGTCCAAAACGTGAAACTGGCGAATCGAAAGAAAAGGATAATTTAAAAATAATAATATATTTATTGAAGGCACAAGTTGAGGGTCAAATTAATAAAATAGAAGCTCTTATTGATCGTGTTACGAATCCTATGGATTGCACAACATCAACAGAGTCAGCTGAATTATCATCATCTGATTCTAATTCTATAGATGAATCTACTGAGACATCATCATCTGATTCAAATTCCATAGATGAATCTACTGAACTTTCATCATCTGATTCAAATTCTATAGAAGAATCTATTGAACTATCATCGTCTGATTCAAATTCTATAGAAGAATCTGTTGAAGCATCATCATCTGACTCAAATTCTATAGAAGAATCTACTGAACTATCATCGTTTGATTCAAATTCTATAGAAAAATCTGTTGAAGCATCATCATCTGACTCAAACTCCATAGATGAATCTACTGAACTATCATCATCTGACTCAAATTCTATAGAAGAATCTACTGAACTATCATCATCTGACTCAAATTCTATAGAAGAATCTGTTGAACTATCATCGTCTGATTCAAATTCTATAGATGAATCTACTGAACTATCATCGTCTGATTCAAATTCTATGGAAGAATCTGTTGAAGCATCATCATCTGACTCAAATTCTATAGAAGAATCTACTGAACTATCATCATCTGATTCGAATTCTATAGAAGAATCTGCCGAAACATCATCGTCTGATTATGTAGAACCATATTTTTCATCAAATGGACCTTGTATGATTCACCGCGGCTGTTTAGGAAAGTCATGCCCAGATTCGACAGAAGAGTGTCATTACACTGAAGAAGCAGTCCAACCTGACTGCGAAATATTGAAAAAAACTTACACTTGTTTTGACGACAACAAGGTAGTTCTGAATAAGATGGAGGACCAGGTTTCTAATGATAAGAAGCAATGTTACGAACATACAGAAATAATTCCCAGGAAAGACCTTACAATAGAAGGCCGAAAATGTTTGTAAAAATGAAGAACTTAATTTCATGATTTATCTTATAAGAAGGTAAAGAAAGAGAAAAGTAATTCGAATAAAGGAAAATAATTTAGAAAATTGATATTTATTTTAAATTTTTTTTTCTTTATTTCAGTTTGTGATTCATTTAAGAGCTACAATTTTTTTAAGAATTGAAATTGATTATTTAGAATAAAATACAATATCACTTGATAAGTAGATATTTAAATCACTATCGAAATAACTACTTGAACTTTCTACTTCAACTTATAGTCAAGCTACTTTCGAATAAGATTTTCTAAAAAAGTTTGTTTAGTTTATGTAGATAATTTAGAAAGAATTTTCTATGTTATTTCTTCAAATGAAATCATCAAGTAAATAATAAACTAAATTTAACGTGACAATTTTTAAGTTGATGTCAACATTTACAATAGTTGAAATAAAATCATTTCATTTTCTCTAAGATCTTGGATAGGCGAAAATATTTAAATTCAGTTGCCGACTACTTTTCACATTAATCCATGAAAATTAAAATTATTCATGCTTAGCAAGAGCTAAAATATCTTCAATTGTAACTTAACATCATTAAATAGTTTGATTTCCAGAGATGTTACCTGCAAAGGCGGTTTTCTTTTCTGTTTTTATATTTTGTTTACAAAAGCTTGCTGTTGAAAGCTCAAAAATTGATAGCTCAAAATATTCAAGAATTCAAACAAGAGGAAGTTGTCAGGAGGATGTTGAATCAAAACCAATAATTTTGCCACATATTGAATCAAGTGTTAAACCGGGAAATGAGAATCAAATACTCATTTTCCCGTCTTCTTATCCTTACTTCACTGTTCGTTGTCCAAAGCATGAAACTAACGACGATGATGATATAAAAAATTTGATAATGATCATAGAATCAGTGAAAGTAAACATTAATCAATTATCCGGGAAGATCGAAATTCTTTCTGAGCTTTTGATGAAACCTCCTTATTGTATGAATAAGCCACCGACTAAAACATCAATCGAACCTTCAACAAAGCCAATAACTAAACAACCAACTAAGCTTTCAACTAGAAAACCAACCAAACCAATGAAACTTCCAACAAGACGGCCGATCCAACTTCCAACTAGACGACCGACTAAACTTCCAACTAGACAGCCAATCAAACTTCCAACTAGACGGCCGACCAAACTTCCAACTAGGCAGCCAACTAGACCTCAAATTAAACCCACAAGTAAACCAAAAACTAAATCCACAACTAAAGCTTTGCCAAAACAACCGACTAAGCCTCTTATTCCAATAGATCCAAATAAATCTGAAGATTGCGTAAAGGTAAAATGTAAAGGAAGGTATTGTCCTGCTGAAACAGTGAAGTGTAAATATACTGAGCAAGCTTTGGAACCTGGTAACTATTCCATTCGTAGAACTTACGTTTGTTATAATAAAAATGAGATAGTTTTAAAAAATATAACAAGCATTGCTAAGAATTATAAAGAAGGTCAAAGTTTTAAATTTACTGAAACGTTTGGTGGAAAAGATTTGAAAAGAGTGAAGAAAAAATGTAAACAATATGATGTGAGCGGTGAGACTTTAATCTTGCGCAAGTTTCATGAAGAAAATAAAAACAATTCCATTACTCTCTAGAATTTACAAAAATAATTTTTATTGATTTTTTAGTTCAGTTTTTTAATTTTCGTTTAAAATTTACTTAAACATTTGGCATAAAGCGAGAGAATTTCTTTTAATCATGATGTCAAATTAACTATCGTTGCTACTTTTTATTCAATTCATTTTCTTTAATGCCGAGCATGACATAGGAAAATAATTATAATGGAGATAATGTTCACAAAGTTTGTTTCAAATTAAATCAGTTGATTGATTTTCAATATATTAAAAACAATTTTAATCGAAAACTTTTTAATTTTTATTTCTTGTTGGTCATGGCTCAATAATAAATTATCTGAACACTTTTGTCGATTACTTTTCAGATTAATCCATGAAAATTATGATTTTTTATACTTAGCGGTAACTCAAATAGCTAACTTTGAATTCAGATTCTTGACCAGTTCAATTTTCAGAGATGCTACCTGCAAAAGTAATATTATTGTTCATCTCGCTAATTTATATTGAAAAAACTGAATCTAGGAGACATCGTAACGAGGCTGAAATTCCAAGTCCGAAACCTTCGCCTTCGCCTAATCCTGGATCTGCTGCAAAGAATGAAAACGAGAACCAAATACACGTCTTCTCATCTGCTTATCCTTTCTTCACTTTGCGATGTCCCAAAACTGAAGGTGGTGACTCAAATAATTTAAAATATTTAAAAGACATTACAGAATCATTGAATGATCAAACTAATCACTTAACAAGAAAGGTTGAAATCCTGTCTGATCTATTGATGAAATCTCCTAATTGTCCGACTGAATTATCAACAAGGCCACCGGAAAAGTCACCAACCAAGCTTCCGACTGAACAACCTACAATTAAAAAACCTCCAACTAAGCAGCCAGACGAATCAGAAACGGCACAATGTGAAGAGTTCAGATGCAAAGGGAAATCATGCCCAGGTGGTACACAACAATGTCGATATATTGAGCAATCGCTGCAGCCTTATTTCACGGAAATTCTGAGAACTTTTGTTTGCTTATCAAAAGACAATAAAATACTGAAGAAAATCGAGGACGTCGTTGACAACCATTCGAAAGGCAAAAGGTTTGAATTTACAGAAACGTATTCTAACAAAGACGTTAAAAGAATAGGCAAAAGATGCACAACTGAATAGTCGAAAGTCAAATTATTGATGAATAAGTGAATAAAACAATTAATTTGATTGTAAACAAAAATAAACTTTATTTTGAATTGCAATCAATCACAATTTTGAATACATCTGCTAGAAGTTATCTTCATAATTTTTTCTAAAGACAAGTATACGTTTCATGTGGCACAAGTGCAAAAGAATATATTTCTAAGTACCATTTGATCTCGTACACTTATCATCTATGTGTGGGCTTAAGCAAATAACATGAAAATTTCACTTGTACTTTCAATATCGTGTTCATAACCGCAGCTAACCTTGTACAACTGTTGTACAGATCTCTATAAGTTTTAATACAAAAGTTTTAAAGTACACTTCAAGACAGATTGATTTAAATTTCCTGGAAAGACTAAGTAATGAGAATTTGGCTTTTAATTACAACATTTGCAGTAATTTTGATTACTGTGTCTGGACTTATTGATTGTCCACTTTGCACAGATAATCCAGGATATACGACCGACAGCGATTGTACTTGTTCTGGAAATAAAGTCAGGCGTGAGCGAGATGGTTCTGAAGTAGGCATCTTAGGATTTCATAAAATATATTGTTGCCGATCAAAAACAAAAAAATGTGTAGAAACTGGAACTCCATAAGAAACTTTTCTGTTTCATTATTTTTGCAAGTTTAAATTTTATCTTGTCATAAATGTAAATGAAGAAATAAAATAAATTCGTGTGTGACAGTTTTTAATCAATACAAACATAATTCAATCTTTTATTTATTTTTTATGAGTTATAACAAGGATCTCGGAGTAAGGCTCAGATGGGAAGATGATCAGGAGGGGAGGGCATGTTTTTTAAGTAACTGAGGTGAGGCGAAGGGGGGAAAGGGTGTAGAAATATTGAAATTGAATATTTACTTGCACAGTTTACATGTTTGAATGTATTCTGGAGAAACTCGTATAAGATTTACGAAAAGAATTGTGAGTTGTCAGTCTTGTTTTAAAAGAATTAAGAGAACAGACGTGTCAGTTGCCATTCTATAACATNCTGATTATTATTTACTTTGCTAATTTATATTGAAAAAACTGAATCTAGGAGACATCGTAACGAGGCTGAAATTCCAAGTCCGAAACCTTCGCCTTCGCCTAATCCTGGATCTGCTGCAAAGAATGAAAACGAGAACCAAATACACGTCTTCTCATCTGCTTATCCTTTCTTCACTTTGCGATGTCCCAAAACTGAAGGTGGTGACTCAAATAATTTAAAATATTTAAAAGACATTACAGAATCATTGAATGATCAAACTAATCACTTAACAAGAAAGGTTGAAATCCTGTCTGATCTATTGATGAAATCTCCTAATTGTCCGACTGAATTATCAACAAGGCCACCGGAAAAGTCACCAACCAAGCTTCCGACTGAACAACCTACAATTAAAAAACCTCCAACTAAGCAGCCAGACGAATCAGAAACGGCACAATGTGAAGAGTTCAGATGCAAAGGGAAATCATGCCCAGGTGGTACACAACAATGTCGATATATTGAGCAATCGCTGCAGCCTTATTTCACGGAAATTCTGAGAACTTTTGTTTGCTTATCAAAAGACAATAAAATACTGAAGAAAATCGAGGACGTCGTTGACAACCATTCGAAAGGCAAAAGGTTTGAATTTACAGAAACGTATTCTAACAAAGACGTTAAAAGAGTAGGCAAAAGATGCACAACTGAATAGTCGAAAGTCAAATTATTGATGAATAAGTGAATAAAACAATTAATTTGATTGTAAACAAAAATAAACTTTATTTTGAATTGCAATCAATCACAATTATTAATACATCTGCTAGAAATTATCTTCATAATTTTTTCTAAAGACAAGTATACGTTCATGTGGCACAAGTGCAAAAGAATGTCTTTCTAAGTACCATTTGATCTCGTACACTTATCATCTATGTGTGGGCTTAAGCAAATAACATGAAAATTTCACTTGTACTTTCAATATCGTAGGGATAACCGCAGCTAACCTTGTACAAGTTGTACAGAAATCTCATTATAGTTTTGGATATAAAAGTTTTAAAACACAGATCAAGACAGATTGATTTAAATTTCCTGGAAAAACTAAATAATGAGAATTTGGCTTTTAATTACAACATTTGCAGTAATTTTGATTACTGTGTCTGGACTTATTGATTGTCCACTTTGCACAGATACTCCAGGATATACGACCGACAGCGATTGTACTTGTTCTGGAAATAAAGTCAGGCATGAGCGAGATGGTTCTGAAGTAGGCATTTTAGGATTTCATAAAATATATTGTTGCCGATCAAAAACAAAAAAATGTGTAGAAACTGGAACTCCATAAGAAACTTTTCTGTTTCATTATTTTTGCAAGTTTAAATTTTATCTTGTCATAAATGTAAATGAAGAAATAAAATAAATTCGTGTGTGACAGTTTTTAATCAATACAAACATAATTCAATCTTTTATTTATTTTTTATGAGTTATAACAAGGATCTCGGAGTAAGGCTCAGATGGGAAGATGATCAGGAGGGGAGGGCATGTTTTTTAAGTAACTGAGGTGAGGCGAAGGGGGGAAAGGGTGTAGAAATATTGAAATTGAATATTTACTTGCACAGTTTACATGTTTGAATGTATT